AATATAGGATACTATATAGAACTCAGATTATTTTGCTACCTACTTTAACTAAAAATTTATAACTTCATTGTTCGAGGCTAAGGAAACTTGAGAAGAAGTTGGGGAAAAAGCGGAAGCAGTAGCCTTAAAAGAAATAGCAGAGGTCATAGAACTTTTCCGTAGAGATTTAACATGTAAACTCCCTAAGAAAAAATTGTTCTGGTGTGCTTTTAATTCTTCTGTTGAGGAACTTTTTTCTTCAATTACATATATTTCATTAGTATCATAAGTTAAAGTATTGAAAACCCTTTTGAACAAGTTTCCAGTCTTAAGTTATAACTGGTGGATAACCGTGCTGATTATTAATGGGTAGCAACTATATTATGACCGTACTACATAATAAATATTTACTAGGGAGAGGGTATTCTCTTTTTTTCCTGAGGAATATTCTATTTTTATATATGATCGCTGATTAGGGTTGGCATTAGACTAAGCTCTAATAGCCCTTTATTACTTGGTTTCATTTCGTTTTATACTTCTTTTTACGACCTCTTGAATAAGTTTGGTTACAGTCTCCTTTTCACTTCATATTTACCGAAGGTTCCGCATGTTTGTGGGAAAGTAATTTAAACTGTCTAAACTGTTCGTGTGTATCTTCTTCATCTACTTTGGTCAACAAAAAAAACACGACATATATGTAAGCTTTAACACAATTACTTAAAGGAAACCCTGATATATTACCATCTATATAGCTTAAAAATAAAAAGAATAATAATTATACACACTATACAAACTTAAACCGATACATGATTCATATATAGATCAAGATATTTGAAAGAATTGTCAACACAAATAATGAAAATCCAAAAAAAGTTATCCATGTAGTGGCTAACCGAAATGTAGAATTACAACTAACTAGAAATGTTTCTCATTTTGAACCATCTTGCACAAGCTCTACCATATTGTATTTGTACAACTAATTCTTAATAGTAAATACAAATATCAAATATTAATTTAGCTTTTTGTTTTTTAAAAAAACCAGATTAAAAACGCATCAATACTCCGTTGCAAATAACCGAAGAAAATTATAAATAACAAAAAATTATAAATAACAAAAATGTAATTATTTTTTTGTCTCTTGCAAAGATATAAATATATGCCATTCGCTCTTGCGTCTTTTTTTTGTTCTGTTTTCCTTGTTAGATACTTAATAGGGTTTCTCCCTTCTCGGACTTCTTTCATATAGATTTTTTGTGAGAGTTGAAACAAAAATCTTAAGGACACCCAAGATGGGCTAAGAACCCATGGACTGAGTGTTAATAACATGGGGATATATCAGGTTAAATACGTAAAACCATCATATCGAAACCGAGAGATGCGATCGTAGCTCAGCGGTTAAGAGCTTTGACGCGTATAATCATGGTCTTCAGTTCATTTCCCGCCGACGCGACTCTTTTTTTAGTTCTTTGATGATCGCGTATTTAATTTCGCCCTCTTAAATTTTAAGATACTTATGTGCTATATACATTAAACCATTAATTGCTGTTAGATAAAGAGACTGGTTTTAAAAGCTTAGTGAACTTATTGGTTCTTGTACACCTAACATGCTGAGCGTATACATTGTTTGGAAAGAGAGGCGAGGACAACTTAGTTGAGAAAAGGTTAAAAAGATAAAAGTTGTAAAATATTCTTGGATCCCTTGCGACCGAGCTTTATTAGTGCTAGCATGTTCACTCAACAAATCTTACTGTTGGTGGAAAACGCAACTAATGCTTTTAAGTACAAGGAATCCACTGTTTTAGTTTTTTAGGCATTTTGAAAGGTTTTGACAAGGTAAGGGGTGTTATATATAAAATGATCAAATGTGCACTTTTCCGCATATTGAATACGAATTATAGAGTCATACGTTAGCAAATGTGTCCTTCATGGCCCAGTGTAGGACCAGAACTATCGGGTTCCAAACTACTTAACACTGGGGCCCCCCAAGGGTTGAAAGTGTCTCTTATTTTATTCCCATTATACATGTATGACATACCTTTCTCTGCCAAACTTTCTTGGCGTCCTATGCTGATGACACTGTAATTTACGGCAGCTCAAAATCTCCGCCTCTTGTAATTATATACAATTTTTTCTTTAACTCTTTTGAAGGTTAATATCAACGTAGTCATGCCATACTTATCTTAAGAAAAGAGAGGTAAGATTACTAAATTATTTATCTTTTTTTTAGATCTCCCTCTTCTTAAATAAGCTAGGCAAATAACTCGTGTCATCAAAGATTACAAACTAAATTGGAAGGTTCACATTAAGTAAGTTAAAAAATTAAAAAGTACCACGCATTCGTTATCCCGCTCATATGCAATATAATGCCCTTAATCTCAACAAATAAATTATCTACAAAGCAATTTTAGACCAGTGATGAGATGCGCCTCAGTAGCCTGGGTCTGTTCTTGATTTTCAAGATAGTAGACTGCAACTTATACAGCACAACTTTCTAATAATGTTATTAGGAGTTCCTCGATATATGACCCTTTAAATTAAATTGTGAGTGCAAATTAAACTATTTTTGATGTATACTAAGTGATTAGCAGAGGACTACCGCAAAGCGTCTAAAGGTCATTGGTAGTAAATTGTTAGTTACTTCCCTAAGTTTAACTCCCTTTCACTTCCCTAAATGTAGACAAATGAAACACCTTATTGCTATGTTAGAAAATAACTTTATAGGCAAGGTTCATAATTAGTAATAGTATTAGGGAAAATGATAATATATTGGGAGTAGTACCTAACACTATAGCACATTATAGCGATTATGATAATTAAAAAATATTAATAATAAATGCTAAATAATGAAGAGGTAAATTAAATAATAAATTATTCAAATTGTATTAGTAATGGCTGCTGAATTATATATATGTGGACTACCTTTTTAGACCACTTTACGACGTAAACCTGGGGAACACAAGATAATTCTCCTCCTCTTAAGGAACGTACTTGACTCTGCTAAGATTCTTAAGATTTAGCCCTCGGCCCATTGCACGAAACATGCATAATGCTACCAATAGTAGGACCAGCCTACACCGCTGAGATATATTACTAGTCTGTCGCCCTACTTAGCTTTGAATCATGAACAGAATACTAGCCTAGATCGCGGTGGTCACTGCGAAAGTCAAGAATGCTCGCACAGATAATTATAACTAGGTGAATGCATCGAGAACGAGCGTTTCTTTTCTTTTATACATTTTTTGGGGGGGGGAGGGGGCTAAATGTTCTAAAATGACTCTCTAAAGCATAAATAGTGCTATTACCTAGTAGAACAGGAATTTATAAATTAAACACAACTATACACTAATGGTACACTGACGATAAGTAAGCATTTTTAGCTATGTCGAATCAGCGAGGGGGCACTATTTATTAATCTCAGCAACACAATACTATATGATTGCAATAATCTTCTAGTACTAACTTCATCCAAAACTAATCAAGAAAAGTAGACCCATAGGCAATGGATACCATATTAGGATTCCATTTAGAAGGGGGACCCAAAACTTTGCGCAGGAATGCTATAAACAAGGTGGAAATAGTATCCCAGGTACCTTGAAGCGGTAAATAATATTTTTTTCTCATTAGACGACCCTTTAAACTAAACTAAAACCCTTACAATATTATAGTTGGTATAGTACAAACCTGGCTTTACTCCTCAAGTATCTACTATTAGAGTCATAAGGAATCACTAGATCACAGAAGAAAGCACAGAAATCAAAGAGCAGACGGTACTTCTAGTAAGTCACCTATAGACTTGGGAGACAAGACCGCCTCAGTGTGAGCCTCGAAAATAACACTTTCGCTAGAATCGTGTAGAACCCCCCCGTAATGTAATTAGAATCGTAACACTGCGCGCGTGTCAGAGGTAAGATGCAACCTAAGAAGACCCTACTGTAGGTTACGGGCTTCTCATTCTAAGGACAGATCTTCGACCCGTGCATTGAGCAGAGGGCTGTAATAAGGATATATTTTTAAACCAGTGTATTTTGGCAACCACTTCTGGGTCAAAATATTAGCAATGTTTAAAAAGAACATTTTTGGGTTTGCAATAAACATTTTACTTAAAGATAAAGAGAAGAAGCCTCCTATACCCTCAACTTAACTAATCATGTAAAAATCTTTAGGAATATATCGTTATATAACATTAATAACCAGTAAACGACCTTTATTAATTACTCTTTTATTGAAAATTCAGATTTTGTGTTTGCTCTCAATGGTGAAAGCTGACTTTTAAAAGGGCAAATAAGGAGATCAGCAGTTTAATTAATCTACTAGAAGCAGCACAATATTACTTTCGCGCAGGATCCGTGAATAGTTGTACACGTAACTAGGAATAAATCTAGGGATCGTTATACCTCTTAAAATTGACAGTACTATACTTTTATTACTTCAGAATAAATTGAATCCTGTAGGCTGAAAAATCAGTAGAAGTTGTAAATAAGAAAGTTCCGAGGCAGGCCCGCTAAATTACTGCCATTAAATAACTTAGCAGTTCAACTGTAAATTTAGGGGGGGGGGAAACCTTCCCTTACCATTTGAGGTAGTAATTCGTCTTGAAAATCTTGTAATCTGTGTAATTTTTGGTTAAGCGGTTTACATACCTTGGTAAGCTTTTAATATCCGTATGCACTACGGTTAATCGACCTTTAACATGGTTCACCTTATTATAAACCAAGATGAAGTTGTTTGTAGCCTTCAATAAGTTAATGCATACCATAGAAATAGAAGGCCTTGCAGTATGAGCTGGGGATGTGTTTGGTTAAGGAAGTCTACACAAAGATTTCGAAGTACTGTAATGAGCAGACCAAGTGACATCCCAGACAGGTGTTTGTTCAACTACTTTGAAAGTAGAGACTCTGTTACAGAATCTCTATTGGTCGGCAACGCAACGCCAGGAGAGCTGACTCCATAATAGTTACTAATTTAAACTATAACCGCTTTCTAACAAAAAGTTATACTTATTAAAAACTCTTCCCTTTAACTAAAACGAATTTCACATTTTTTATTATACCGCGATAAGACTTTGTTAACAACAGGAAGGCAGTTTAGCAGGAAGCAATCTCACGGACCGTTACTCGGTCAGCTCTACTGGCTCGTCGTCTTCGTCAAGGTCAAAGTTAAGGTCAGTGTCATCGATGGAGTACGTCGCTGCCCCCGCTATGCTCGAGATGCGGCCTTCACCATTATTGAGCAAACCAAGAAAAATAGCCTGCGAAGGTCATATTGCAGCACAAACCACATGGAAAGTCAAAAGGCACTGACCTCCTTCTTCATATCATCCAGTTTCTCCTCCAGCACGCGGGTCGACTCCTGCTTGGACCGAGCCAGTTCTCTCTCCTGCGAGAGGGCCTCCAGTTGTCTATCGAGCTGGATCCGCGTGAGCTCTTTCTTAGAAAGGGTCACCTTCGGCATCGCAGGCTGCATACGTAAAACGTGATTCACCCCTGAAAAGGGTAGAGGGAAAAGACATGCCTTAATTGACTGTATGGCCAGCTGAAGCTGCTGAAGAGCTTCTAATAACTCTTTTTTGACTGCAGTTGTTATGCCTTTCTGCTGGAGTTTTTCAAGGATAAGCTCCTGTTGCTTCATATTCTCGCTGACTAAGTGTTGCTTGGCCTTCTGCATCTCCTGCAACTGCCTCAATGCGTCTGCCCTGCACTTTTCCTCCTCAACCCTCCGCTTGTACCGCAGCGAAGCCCGACGCCCGTGGTCGCTCGAAAGCAGTTTTTTTACGACGTCATGAGCGCGTTGCTGGGGCGGATGAAAGGCTGCCTCAGGCGAAGATGTGGCTCCTCCTGTTTTTAAGGGCACAGCGCTACCACCGCTGTCGTCCACGGGTGCGTAGTAAATCTGCGAAAAAGCGCAGCGAACTAAAAAGGGCCGAGCAGCGAAAAACACTAAACCGACTGGAGAACCTTGATAAATCTATTGCCGAAGGGGGCCTCCGGGGACGAATAGGCAGCCTTGGCGTCCAGGGAATGCTTGAACTGGACTCGGGCAACTTGTGGGTTGTTTTTGTAGCGAACGTGAATATTCAGAATGGGGCCAAACTTCTTAAAATGGTTCATTATCCTGTCCAGCGTATTAAACTCAACAGGGACGTTCGACAATTCCAATATAGCCGTATAGCGCTTGCCATCTTGAGACACAAATCTTTTGGGAGCGGCGTGGTGGTTCGCAGTCGATCCGCTGCGCCCATCTTGAATAATAAAAATGATGTAAATAGTCAGGCGAAACTATTGCCTTTTTGTACAAACCTGGAGCCAAAGGAGCCTGGCTTCTGTAGTTATTATTAAGTTCCCGAGCAAGATCCTGGGGGAGCACAGATTCTGGCTTGTACTCGTCATCAAAGCTGCTGGGCGGCTGGGCACTCAAGCGGGAAGCAAGTGCTGGGGGGAGACGGTTAGCAATCGCCGGAGGTAGTTTTTGAACCACTTCGGGTACGGAGTGTGTGTCGGCATTCACAACCACCGGGTTTTCGCCGTGATCATAGGCACACCTGTCTCCTTCTATACAATAACCTGGCACAGATAAAAGTTAAAGCCTAAAATTAAAAAAAGCTTAAAAAGACGACTAAAAAAGAGTGAAAAGATAAAATTGGATTAATCAACGCTAACCCTGCTCTTCGTAATCACGACAAGGCCGCGCCACGTGACGTCGTTTGGAAGAGAAATTAGTTAGTAAAATAGACTGGCTCGGCGAAAGTTCTAAGCATAAAAGCTCCGAGTCAGTAATCACTTTAAGAATTTAAAAAGATTACAGAAAAGTAATGATAGTGCAATATAAAAAATCTTCGTCAAAAATATGATCAGCATTGAAGTGCAAGTTTTTGAAGAGTAAAGAGAATGATAACCTCCTCTTTGGCGCTCCCTGTAACGGCTGGCACTCCTTAGTCTTTCACTATCACGGTACATGTATCTCTCTTTATTTTTATCTCTGTGGGCATACCGAATATGCTCTCTAGTTTTTGCTTTCTCTAAATCTTTAAGTCGACTTCTATCCTTATTTTTATAAACAACGTGTTCCCCTTCAACACCCCCACTTGGAAACCCCGCTTGTCCTTGTGTAAAGTCATCATCGCCGTTTGGACTTAAAACTGAGGAGTCATCAGGGACAAGGCTTTGTATTGAAAAATCGCTAGTACTTTGGACAGATTTAGCAGTGTCTTGCTTAATATTATTAGCGATGACCTTCTTTTCACTACGTTTTGCCAAATAGGTAAATAAATCCGAAACTATTGTCTGTGTGTCTAAATAATAAATAATAAAAGTGATAACATAGACAAATAAATAGCGTAGAGGAAACCTTCACTTAGAAATATATAAAGTTCATCCTCACAGAGTTTTCTTAATTCAGCTTCGGATTTCCCTGGCTGAGAAGTCAACAAAGCTATAATATACTTGGCTAAAACATCGCTATCCGCTTGACAATCGCTAAATTTTTTTTGAAATAATTGTTGTAATATAATATAGATGATAATATATCGTAATACACTGCGGAGAGCTTATCTATAATCCAACTTTGTACTACTTCTTCGTCATTTTCACCATCCATTTTGATTAACAAAAATAATAGGTTTTATATTTAACTTAAATTCTCAAAAAAGTACTTAAGAATAATAAATGCATTAAAATTTATAAATAAAAGGTAATTACAAGCATTAAAGTATTCTGTACAAAGAAAAAAAACTAAGCCGAACCGGGCGGTTATGCAGAACACAACTAGTACACCCACCACACTGGCCACCACGCCATGAGCGAGGATTTCTGTTCTCTTTACTCATCGCTGTCGTCTGTTACATCCCGACTCTTACTAAGACTTTTGCCCTAGCTTAACAGCGGTGCCGTCGCATTGTATTTAAACTTCTCATAGAAGTTCTCTTCAAATTTTATGATCCCTTATGAATATAATAATAAACTTTGACGTGCATGGGTATTTGAATTTATTTCTTACATAATACTTGCGCTGTTATATTTTTTAAGTTGTCAAATCCGTATTTTGCCAATCTATCTTTTTAGTGTTACCTTGTATAAAAAAACACGTTATTTTAATCTTGCCTTGACTTAAAAATTATAATACCCAGTATATAAAAGGATTCTACTCCATGGTTACTCACTATAGTTTAAACTTTCTATACATTTAAGTTTATGGACCAAACTTACGGTTTCAAGTGTTTACACTCTTTTAGTTATACTTGCCAACCTTGTATTGTGTCACTGTCACTTTTTGTATTCTCACTCAGAGGTAGAGTCAGTATCTTACTCAGAAGAGAAATTAACTACTGTAGACAAAGTGATTGCATTAAAGATATTTACTTATGTTTTAAAAAATTAGAGTACTTTTTGTTTACCTTACTAGAAGGAGTGCGCCCTGTCGAAAGAGACAAACACAAGTACTTTAATAAGAAAAAATGGTATATTAACTTTTTGGTTATAAAGTGATCATTACTTTTATTATTAATATCCTATTCTAGTCTAGACGATAAGAAGCTAAGTTTGCGCTTTTTATCCGAAAAAGCTTCTAATTTTTCTTTTTTGTGGGATATATCTAGTTTTTCTGGAAAGGTTAGTGAAGTAGTAAAGCATATACCTTAGTGTTTTTCTATTTCACCGTACGTTGCAGAATTATATTTTGTGTGATCGTATAATTTTTTGTTCTTTATAGATCGAACAGTTTGACGTGGCTGACTGGGAGCGCGAAGTTTATAAAAAACAAAAAGTTGGAGCGTTTTATTTATTTTTAGTAATTTTCGCTGTTACCACTTCTATCTTGATAGTTTAAAAAGTTGAATCTTTCGAAGCACTCAAAGAGGAAGAGCAAGCGCGGCCGTGATCTTATTGATTTAGATCTCGTCAGAGGTTTTTCTTCCTGATCATACATTTTTTAGTTCTCCATGTACCTTAATCTGTTTGCCATTTCTCTGTAGGATCCGCCTTCGTTAAGGTCAAGCCTCCTGGTTATTATTCCCGCCTGAATCGCAATTTTTTTCGTGTCTTTATCTTTCCTTTGTACCGCCGCTGGTGGACTAGCGAACTTACGGCTGGAGTGAGTTTGCTTAAGTGGTTGCTCGTGGGGGGCTTTTTTTAAAACTTTCCCTGCTGCTTAAGACCTACTTCGTCTGCTCCTTTACGTATGTCTTCCACGTGGCCTGCATCCTTGCGTGCGTTGCTCTCGATTTATCTCCGACAATATCTCCTCTTGAGGTTTTTCCGTTTTGTATACTCCACGTTTATGTTAAGTTTCTTTCTCTAAAGGTCTTCTTCCCTGTCGGTCTACTTGCCTTACTCTCGCTCTTATATGCTAGTATTGTCGCATCTGCGCCTAATCAGCACGTAAGCGATTGATGTTATAAATTGGAATTGTTAGGTTAAAACATCTTTTCAGAGCGATCCATCATTCATTAGAAGGCAAAGAAATAAGAGGAAAAAGCCCCAAAAATATTCTCCCCTCGGTATCCGCCATCCTGAGAGAAACACAACTTCTGCTTGTAGCCTTTCTTTACCTAGACGGGGACTCTGAAGATGACGTGAGCCGAGAAGATCACGCCCTTTTAAGGTACATTGCGAAGCGCATGATCCTCTTGCATTTTTATGGGTCAAACATGATAGTGACGAGGACCTCAAGCCCCGTCGGCGACGACGAGCCCATTTGAATGACATGAACGAAGAGGACGTGGCCTCCTTGTCTAGCGGTTCCAGCGACGATGAAGCAAACGTGCTGAGTTTTTTTTATGCGGGTGCTTTCCTTTCTTAGCACTCATAGTACTGTCCACCCGCCATTGTACGCAGCCCGGGCCAGCCAAAGCTTTAGGACTTTCCTTAAAGATCAGCGTTATGTTATACGATGAGATGGGCGGAAACTACCATAAGTTAGAGATGACGCTGGCTCAGATAGCGCACATGGTCATTAGTAAGGTTGTTTGTTAGTTGCACCGATAAGAGACTTTTCCTATAATTCTTTCTGCAGATCAACCACAGGCAATGCAACCGCCGCTTTTTTGTGCTCGGCTGCTTTGGCTGCTTCCTGTCCGCCGTAATACCGTCCGCCTATCGGTTACAACAAAGGGCTCTTGTTCCGATCGTTATGGAGCATCCACTCAGTGAAAGTTGCTGTCGATAGCATTTTATTTTTTTTCTATGTTGAGATTGGTGGTTTGTAACGTGAGGATTATTGTCGGTGGTTGCAGGAAAAACTTTGACTACTACTTTAGTAATCATGTCCAGTTTCTTCACGACTTTTTTTATGGGTACTCTTTTCACACTTAGCGGTGGGAGTTAGTGGTTATAATTGCTAGCATTCTGCCGGCTGTAGGCTATTGTCTGATATTCTTTTTGGCTGTCGCCGAATACTCTTACTTTCAACGTTATCTGCGGGCCAAATATTTTTCTTCTCTAACTTCTTCGAGGCGTTCTCGATATTACGGTTTGCCGCATTTCCGGCTTAGTAAGGTTAGTTTAGTAAGTTCCTCTGCGACTCTTTCTCACCTTCAGTGAAGGTCTCAAATGTCAAAACGTGGCTTTCTTTGAGGTCTTTTTTGAAGGTTTTTTTAAACAAAAATGCAGCATTGAACAATTATATTAACACAATATAGAAAAAAGGGCCTCAAAGGAGCGTGGATCTGATTGTTTCCTCGTCCTTTCTGCTAGCCTTTGGCCTCATAGGCACAATTTCCTTTAAGGCCGCTACCTCGGCTACTGGCCTACTGGCCACGAATATGTATGATTGGCAGATTATCACGTGGTTAGCCAAATTCTCCATTCATCCCTGCAAATTTGTCAAACCGGTTTCCCACCTACGCTTCAGGGCATTCTTACTTTCAGTGTTCCTTTTGCGCTTTATGACTCTCGGAAGCCGTATCAATAGAAAGTACCAAAACACTTCCGTCCTTCTCACAGAGCAAGTGCTTATTAACCCTCTTCTCGGCTTTACTGTTTTCCTATTAGCCTTGTTTTCTAGATTAATGTCTTTTTACGGATGGAGCAAGCCCCTCACAAAAAGGATGAACTGGCCATTTGTAATAACATCTTAAAGTTAGCCACTAAGCTTCTAAAGGTATGTGTTTCTAATTGGTATAATTATCCGTTGCAGTTAATGGTATGCTCTGCATAGGACTTGGAATCCCCTTATAAGATCTCTGGAATGTCCATGTCCCCCTTACTTTTCAATATCACCAGGTTTATCAAGCAGCAAAGAGTAATGTAAAGACGGAAATTTTTCATATACACACGTGTATATATAGGGTTGTAGTATTATCAGCTTTCTCTTCAGTTGTCTCCGATCTTTTGGGATTTAAAATTAAATTTTGGAAAATCAAAGATAATTAACACTTTTGTCTTAAAGAAAAACATATGTAATACGTTCTGAGCTGCATTGAACACTTCATGAAACATTTATTAAAGATGGGCAGTTAAAATAAAGTTAGCCTCAGTATTAACTTACAAAAGTAAAGTTTAAGTTGTTGGTAATGTCCTATATACAAAAGGTTTAAGATATAAATTTATTTAATAAGTTTTTAGCGCTATAATAATCAATATGACAACTTTTAACACCTCTTGGGACCTATCGGAATTGAATTAACTTGCGGAGTAATACACTAAAGAGAACACCCGCTATTTTTGCACTCGCTACCTTCTTATATTCCTCAGTTTAGTGTTTTTTTGAAAAAATATATTTAGCTGTGTATTATTAGTTTAATTATGCATAAAAATGTGACCTAATTTATAAATATTAAAAAAAATTCGTTTTTTAAAGCGCCACCGTAAAAGGACGGGCTCTTATCTAAAGTTTTTATATCCTTGCCATGCTCGAAAGGTTAGGCCTCCGTTACCTTTTATCGTTAAGCAGGATTCGTCATGTCGCTTAAAGAAAAAGAAATAAGTAGATAAACAATTTACATATAATAAATATTTCGAATATTAATAATAGTGATACAAGCCTAAAGTAACACAAACAAAATAAAGGGAAAAAAAAAAGCAAAATTATATACACAAAAAAGGGAAGAAAGGATGTTTAAAATTCTTATTGACCACCCTGGTATACGACTGCCTGTCTTCTCGAGACCTTTTTGCTTGGGAGGGAAAAACCGCTTATATGGCCCACCCACTCTCTTTAGTAAGTTCGACTTGGAGCATGTTAAAACGGTTCACGATGTGGTAGATAGCGCCCCCTCAGAAAATGAAAGCACCACTACTATATTTCCCCCTCAGAGAAAGAAATATCGGAAATCATTGCGTCGCTTGTTGTTAAAAAGGCTAAAGGACCTGATTTCATCACCAACTCTACTTTAAAACCCCTTACAACTAACCTTAACCTTGGTTAACGTGTAATTTAACAAAAAATCCTCAAATAGTTATTAATATAAAACCACCTCTTAACTACATTACAACCCTTTTTACGATGTAAACGTGCTATGATCTTGTATGTACCCCCTATCATTAATTTTTATTGGAGATTTTAATGTTTAATAAAACCCATGTATTAACTAGACCGATAATTTTAAGATATGCGTTTTTAGCGCTTAAACGGATCGTTATAGCTTCCATCCTAAAGGTGGAGTCGCCGATCTGCTCCTTGTTAAATAAAGCGGTTGTCGTGTATTTCTCTTCAAGTTACTTTTGCTTCTACTTCCAATCTCTAAGTTCTGTTTAATATTTTACGGCCTTTCCTTAAGTTTTATCTCCGCCTGTGCACAGCTTTGGTATAGTTGTGAGCTCCAATTTTGCTTTAAGATCTAAGTTCTTTTAATTATTTTTGCTCAAAGTTAATTGGTTTACTTTTTGTTTTTTTTCTTATCGTTTTAATAAATGGTGCCTCGTGTCATTAATAACCTTTTAGATCACTAATTGAGTTTATTTTATTTGTTTGTTTGGTTTTGTTCTCAGCTTTATTTAATTACTAAGCCCTACAGACTAAAGTGAACAACTACAAGCAGAGAAGCGGAAAATAGGGAAAAATCCTTATCTTTTTTTTATAGCACTGGCATTCTATGGCCGGCCTTCTCCAGATCTTAGGCTGCTTAGTGTGAACTCTCCTCTTCTGCAGGGGTTGGGGCGAGAGCCCACCGGTGTACGCTCTATATAGAGCTATAATGACTGTCGCAAAGGACTGAAAAAAGCAAAAAATATCGGGCCCGAACCTCCGCCATTCGGTCTAGTAGGGGGAAACCGCTAAAAACCACCGGGAGGCCATAAATCTTTTATTAAGTATATATATAGTCCGCTAGCGCAATAATTGTAAATTTTTAACCTTTCACAATCTTTTAATCTAAATAACGTATCACAGCAGTTTACTAGCGTTAGCGTTTCAAGCCTCCCATTATTTACCGAGGAATCTTAAACACTATATATTTAATATAAGGGGAGAGAGAACAAACATAAGAACTTTTAAAAATTTATCAGGTTTATATTAGACGTTTGATTAAGCTACAGCACATAAAGGATGTAAGAAAGTAGCCTGCGGAGCAAGAACATAGATTTATTAGCATGCTATTGGAGTCTAAAAGCAGTTTAGATCTTTTTAAAAATTTATCAAAACTCACTTAGAGGTCGACACTGGGATATAACAACTAATAAAGTATAACAAAGCTCTTACATTAGGATCTTATTTACGCTAGCAAACTTAATTTCCAGTTTTTCGGCTACAACATCATTCTCTTTATCACTTTTAGTATTTAAAAGGTTGTTGTTACGCCACATGTACCGAAGCTCCGAAGCGACACTTTTTATCTGGTGCTGCCATCTTAAATATTATCATACTTCAGATTACTCTTCAAAGTACCAACCACTTTAAAAAGTCCTCAATATTCTGTAAACTGGTTATTCACTTCTCGAATAAACTTACTTGAACCCTCTGTAATTAAAGCCCTTTCCATTGGGTCTACAACTAAAATGCACATTCTCTTTACCCTACAATTTTTATGTACTTTTTCATATATACATCTACAAACCCAAATTATTCGCCTCGAAAAAATTAATAACGAAACTAGTCCCTTAGATTACTTAAATCTATTTGTACCCACACCAGATTTGAGTGACTTGCCGAATCTGGTGTTCAGCCTTTTATACAGCAATTTCTTAACTTTCCCATAACACTACTCTTCATATGCAACTATTGTTTTTTATACAAATAAAAATTTAGGAAAGTCTTCTGGTTGTAATAAAAGAGTTTAAAGCTTCTATGCTTATTACCTCTACAGTAATTAAAAAAAAAAATTTACGTGCTTATTTTGGTTGTTATAAAGTTTTAATTGGTCTAGAGCCTTCCATTCTCTTCTAGTAGCCTTTCAAATGCCCTTTTACAAGGCGTTCAGATATCTCAGTACAGACTATAATCTAGATTTCCTTTTCTACCGCAGCCTCCATTACTTCCTTTACTCCCTATGGATGCCGTGGCTTAGGAAAACATAAAATATAATCAATAAATTCTTTAAAAGTTCTATTTTTTTTTGTTACTTCTCTATTTTTGTTGTTAATTGAATTAATTTTCGTAGCAGTCTGTCTCCAGCCATGTCTATATCCTCTTCCAGGCTCCTCATCTTAAACGGAATATACTTAAAAAATATCGCACTTGTGTATAGTAGTAAATTTTGAAAGCTTAATAAATAGCCCATTTTGGGAGTTGACACTACTATAGTGACTAAATTTAAAATGAAAATTAATCAACAGATAGACAAAACTGGCTTGCTAGTAGCTTTAGCGGAACAGCAGACCAACTGATATGCAAATGAGTAACCCGAGAAGAGGCAGAAAGGAAATTTGCGCCCTCGCACCGGTGTGCCTTAATTATACAAATCCAGTAACGTTTAAAGATGGGCGTTTAATGTTTATTCCCGACCAAACTTCCGACCAGCACGCTAAGAGTGCGTCACGAGGAGGGCAAATACTGTGCACCGCTCTACTTTTATCCTCCCTTATTAGCCTGTCTAACTTTCCGTTTGTTAAAGGTAACCACATTAATTTCAAAGAATTTTTTTTTCTTCAGCGGTTCAAGCTGGTAGTTTGTGAAGTGTACTATTGCGCACGAACCACGGAGAGTTTTTTAAAAGGCTTATTGCGCTTAAACGAGGAGCTATTGCCGTTGAGTTGTAGCCCAGGAGGCAGATGCATACAAAGCCTTGCTTACTGCTCAAGGAAGGTTTATTTTTGTTCCCGGTACAGATGGCATCTTGCTCGCTGTCTTGGCCTTCGCCCCCACGTAATTCACGTGTATACGTTACGACAATTCAGATTCTAGGATGAAAGCTGTATCTCACCAGAGAACACCTCGGAACTTCTCTGCCATTTAAGGTAAAAAACTTTAGCGGCACAGAAAGTTTCTTTGTTTTAACAGCGCCATGCTTTTTGCGTAGTCTTTAAATAGGCACAAAGGACGATACCAGCTATCAAGCCCGTGACGTAAAGCTGCATCGTTGGCGCAAAGAACGACACGCTTGTAAGGGTTGACTGGCAGGGGCATGTTACTCGTACAGCGTGCGCATAGCAGCAGTGATTGAAGAGAGACTTTGCGGAGCCTGTAGACTGCAGCGCCTATTCTACCGTTAAAGTCCCGGCCGTTCAGGTAAAACGTGGGCATGTGTCGAGGGTAGCTTGAGATTGCCAAAATGTGCAGATTTAACCTCATTAAACTTATCTGTTCCTTAATATTATCAATTTATGAAGGCGAAGTTAAATTTGCGAATATCATAGCTTAAAAAAGAAAGTTCCGTCAATGAGAATTCAACGTATTATCTTTAGTACGCGTTAATACTCTCAACCGCTAAGCTACATTGACAATCAATTTGGGTACTATGACCCACGTAAATAAACTGTTAATAGTTAGATATTATAAAGGATTTAGTTATTATTCTACAGTTAGCCAACTGATAGCAGTTTTAAAAAATTGAAAACAGCATTATAAGATCATAACTGTCGATAAGAAAGTAAACAATTGTTTTTGTGCTTGTCAACTCTAGAGAACTGGCGAACATGTAATATTGGTTGCCGTGATTAGTTAAAGTTTAGGGACCTAATAATGGACGACAGCGAACTATTTCCTTAGACCAATTCTAAGCTTAATAATAGTAAGTTTGTGTACTAATTCATGTTAACTTGAGTATAACGGTGGCCGCCTTGCACGCTGCTTTTAAAATATCTTTTTTACCTGTAGAGGACTTTAGTAATGTAATACTACCGCTGCACTCCTCTTTGAAAGAGCCTCACTAAGTTAGTTTTTATACCACAAAGGTGTTAAACTTTGCGCGCTAAAGGATAAAGTTTATAAGTGTCCCTATAACGATAAAAAGTCAATACAAGTTAAGAGTTAAGGGCTAAAAATATGATATTGATATATTTAATTTTTAGGATTACTAACAATTGGTGTGGGATGGAATTTTAGAGATATGTATTATAATAAACAACCTAGCAGTTTGGTGTTTCTCCGATGTTGCCTTTTAAGATTCGCTTAGATTACTTTGATTAAATGAAAGAAAATTGGCGTACTATGAGGGGTACTTAGGGAGATGGTATAGCACTGCATATATTACCACAAGGGGTATAGCGATATAAAAATTTATAGAAATATACACGAATCATGTGAAACACAAATGATGAATATTTACTATAAAGGGGTAAAAATGGGAGATAAGCTTGAATAGAAAATGTTGTTTACTTTGAGAAAAACAGTAAGGCCTTCGACGAAAAACGGCTTGGACCCACACAAGATCGTATGAACTTAAAGTTAACAGCTAGCAACTAAAATACCATTGAGATCCATTAAAAATACCATCGGTAATGAATATGATTAAAGTTAGGGAAGTTAGGATAATTAGGCAAAAAAGTTAGGTTAGCACATTATCTGATAAAAACTAACAGGAAAAGAAAAAATTCCTTTAAATTTTACAAATAAGTATTAAAAAAATGTATTTTCGCTCTTTTTTATTTTTTATATTTTAAATTTCTAAACTTTTTATTTACATAACCATTCTTCCAAAACAATCTATTTTTGGGTTTGAAACCTCGTTTAGAAAAATTGTATTAAAAAATTTTAATATAAAATAAACGTATTACACGCTGAAATAACATATCTCTCTTAAGTTTATATAATAAACAAATATTGGAGAGTAACAAAATATTTGTTTTATTAATTACCAATCTCTGAGCGCGTCTAAAAAAAAAAATAGGAGTCTTAGAGCGGTTCAAGGCAAGTTCTGGTCTTCAAGGTATTTATACTCAAAAACGAAGCCTGTCCGCTCTCTTTGGCACCAGTCATTTTCAAAGTCGAAATACATATATGAACCTTTTGATCAAAATTAAAAAAAAAAACAAACAAAAGAAGAAAAACTATTTACCCTTTTCGTACTCCTCAGTAATTTCGCGAGGGAGATCGCCAGATCTTTGAAACCAGGTTAAATACTTTTTATGAAACCGCCAAGCCTGCTTTTTGAGTTCACGAGCGGCTAAGTATCTAGATAAAAGCATTTGGGTAAGAGTGAAATAGGTAGAGCCCCTTACACGCAATACACTTCTTACTGTTGATAAGTTCCTGGTTGGTAGTAGAAAATAAAAAATAACGTTTCAACTCCCATCTTTTCGAAAATAGACGGATTTAGTAACTGAGGATCGGGTTGTTTTGGGTAGTATGAGGGGACTGGACAGGGCGTTCGGGGTACGTATTGCCTTATCCTGTTATAATATTTATCAGTTGTTCAGTTTTGAAATAACCCCTTGACACCACCAAACAAACCTGTCAGAGTCTGCGCGGTCCGGCATGTTCGAGTAACTGAGTTGCAGAGCTAACATGGCTCTCTGCTCTGCCGGCGACAACGGAGGTTTCCATTGGTAAGCAGATCCTTGCAGCTGCTTATACAGGAGAGGCGCTTGATCCTGCTTCTGTTCTGCCGCTGGAAGTCCCACCGGCATGAAAAAGCCCTGCTGGTAAACCGGGCGAAGAGTTTGGGGGAAGAGTGGCGACTGGACCGACGTGCTCAGTTTAGAGTACGGCTGAGAACGCGGCTGCATTAACAGTTGTCGCATATGAGGCTGCGAATTGGTTCTCACGTGGGATGGTCGAGGATGGGCGCGCAACGAGGTGTCAGGGGAGGTGAGATGGAGGGAGGTTCGAACCTGCTGCTGCTCTTGCGAGGCCTCCAGTGGAGGATGGGTCTTCCCAGGGGACTGCGTGTGTTTCAGAGTGGCGGGCGTGGTGGGTGGCTTCTGGCTTTGCTGTATGTGGGTCTGCTGCGGAGGATGAGCAATCTTTGGAGGTCGCTGCTGCTGTAGAGGCGGGTAGGAAGAAGATGCGAGCGGGTCTACATGCACGTGAGTTGGAAGCGTCGGGGACTGTTCCCCGGAGCCAATAGAAGAAAACTCCATGCGGGTTGGTTGCGAGGAGGACTCTGTAAGCGCGGGGAGCCCGTCAGGCCATTCGACGTTTTCCTTAACGCAGGAAGTCTGTTCTTCGGCTTTCGAAACGTCCGAGGGGGCGTCAAAGAGCCCATCGTGAGAAACAGAGAGCTTTTCTACGGATAGGGCGAGTGCACCCGCAGAGTCGGAAACTTCGCCTTCGTGAGTATTCTCTGCGCCAAAGAAATATATTATTGTGTACAAGCAAGTCGATGAATGTCTCTACTTTGTTCGTTGTACTCTTGACTCTCCTCGTCTTCCCGGTCTAAATCTAAACCATCGTAAATACACTCGTTCTTACAGAAATCCTCCTCCTGATTCTCTTCGAGATAATGCTCCAGGTCTTCTTTGATGCTCATCACCTGATTCAGCAGGATGTCAGACGAAAGATGTAGTTTTCCCCAAATGCCAAAGTATCGAAATCATGTACTAGCAAAGTTGGTATAGCTACCTTTTCGGGGGTAAACCTTTCGTTCATGAGATATCTCAAAAGAATCTCCAACTTTTTCTCGTGATCTTTATGAGACTTGATGCTGTCTTGCAGCCTATCGATTCTATCTAAAAAGTAAATGTGCCCCAAACAGTCAGGAGATTAACAGAGTAATTTCAAACTAAAAAGTATACTCCACCAGATTTGGATCCTTTTTTTTTCTTGGTATAATGAAGAAGTTTCTCAATTTCAGCCTCAAAGGCGTCAACTTGTATATTTAGCCGTTCTGTGCAAGAATTGATCCACTGGGACGCCTTCATTTTAGCCTGAATGAGTAAATTATTGGTGATTTGACACAGAAAAGCGAGGAAGTCGCTCACCTTCTCGTTCGGATCCACTTTGGCAGCTGCTACAAGCCCCTCTTTGGAAAACGCTTTCGTTTTTGTTTCTCTTTCAATAACTTTAAATCTCTCCATTTGCTTTCGAAAAGTATTTTATTAGTACGATGAAAATTTTAAGCAAAATTTTTAAAAATTATTTTTAAAAATCCAATTAGTCTTTAGGATTTCGCTAAACAAGTTTTGCAGAAATAATTAAAAACCTTAATCAAGCCATAACAAACAAAATAAATTATTAATATAAATTTTGCAAGAGCAGTCAACTCCAAAAAAGTTTAATCGCAGTAAAACTTGGAATACCACTTCAATTAATCTTCGGGTTTCAAGTAAAGACTGACTTTTTTCTTTAACCGCTGAAGAAAGCCAAGACTTTATTTGATCTCGAAGTCTCTGGAGCTTTTTGATTTCTTTCTTCAAATCTGACTAAGTAGAAAAACTATTAGAAACTTTACAAAGTTAGTAAAAAGGTAGAGAATGAAAAAATTAGTATTAAAATATTGAAAATTAAACTATTAAATGTCTGACTATTAGCTTAATATAAAAAAATCTGAAAGGTCAAATATAATAAATATTTCTCAATAATTTCTGATATTGTTTATACAGATCAGGCTTAAATAAAATTATAATAGGAGTGAAGCATTAATTATATATGAAGTTCCTTAAAAAAAAAAGAAAGTATAAACAATTATTTATAAATACTTCATATTTTTCCTTCTGGTTGGCATTAGTCGCGGTAATGACTTTGTCCCAAGTCGATTCAAATTCTTCAATGCCTTCAGAAACTTTCTTAAGGCATCTGTCAATTTCAGCTAAAAGAAGAGTAAAGATAGAAGCATATTCAAAAGAAACATAGTTAGAAATACTTTCTTCTTTTGAACTTTACTATTTATACGCCCAAGTAATACTAAAACATATATGGTACGTTATATATAAACTTTATAAGTTCGCCTAAAACTAGAAAGAATTTTTACTAGTAAAAAAAAAACGAAAAGTATTTGAAAAGTGTTTATAGATTTAAAGAAACTCCAAAAATGAGCAAAAAAAAATACAAAAGTGTTATAAAGCGAGTTTTGGTATCATTTTACGATAACCTTCAAATTTTTTCTACGCAGTACTTTAAAATTTAAGCTTGTAGTCTAGCTTCTTTAGAAGTTTCACGGAATAAGTAATTACCGTTTAATTTTCGCCTGTCGGCCATTGCATTAAGGCATTACTTATTATAAACTTATAGTCTTGAAGCTCCCTGCAAAAAAATCAAAAATTTTAAAAAAAATTGATATCAAGTGCACTTAAAGATACCGATAATTTTATAATAATATTTCGTATTTACTCACGAAATACCATAGTTTTGGGCACATTTATTAAATTTTTCTTAAAAGGTGTATTTTTTACCGCAGCGACTTAGGAGATACTGTTTTTAAAGATTCTTTGTTTTGTATAATTTATTCATAAGAATTTATGTATAACTATATATAACTTATTGGATGTTTTTTAAAGGTTTATTATTTACCACATAAAATTAGAAACAACTATAAACATAGGCTTTTCGGTAAATAAGGGTATTTTACAAACCATACTTCTCAAATTTACTAACAAAACTACAGGGTAGTGTTTTACCATACAACAATGTACTAATCTTCGAAAAGAAGAATTCCCCAGCTTAATATTTATCAGATTTAGTCAAAGTAGAAGCGGCCTGGGAAGTCAAATTTTACGTGCGGTTAATTTTACACAACGCCCCCATTTTTCGCAAGGGGTATATTTGTTCATAGCGAGAAAGTTACAGGAATTTCTTGGTTAATACCAAACTTAATCAAGAAGAAAAAGTTTTTTTTAAAAATTATGTTAAGCTTTTTAACCCTGAATTGTTGATGGATAACTACTGAGGGTGAAGCTAAAAGCTTAAAACAAAAATTTTATTGGCTTATACATGGTAATAAAGAAATTGTAACCAATTTAGCGATAATAACGTCATTCTGGTTTTAAGACGAAACCGCTACTGACTAAAAAAAGACAAAAATTCTTCGTATTTATGACAATTCTTTGAACATTAGTAAAAATTTTTTTTCTATTTCAACAATTTTTAAAGTTTCAACTATTAATCCAGCCAACTATTATAATACCATCCGAACTTAATGTTGGCAAGTTTAAAAAAAAAAGAATTTATACTAAACCCATTTATAATTAATAAATGACTTTTAATTAATTTTTTCTACTACAATTAAAAAATAAAACTTGTCATATATATTATGTTTTTATAAAAATTCACTCTTCAGCGCACGGGTAAGATCTACCAGTTTTACTCAAAGATTAACGTTACCTCCAATATTTCCTCGCTTTTTCTTATTAATTTGTTTTGGTTCGCCCGTTACTTAAAATTTTGTCGCCTAATTGATGTCATTGGAAAATAAAATAGGAGTGATTTGGTAGGTATGAAAACTCACATTTTATAACTTTTGTATAACAAAGTTTAAAATATAAAATATTTAGTGAAAAGTTAAATCGGAGCCTTTTCTAACAGTAATTGGGATTAACGCTATAAATGTGTTTTGCTTTTCGCCTACAACAGAGGAAGATACCAAGACCTACTTTACACCATTAAATGTAAGAATCTTACCTGATGAACGCGTTATAACAGGAGTGGATCCGTGGGAAAAAAAATACTATCTACTTATATAATTAATTTTTTTGTATACCAACTATGTAGGTCTGCAAATATATAATCCTTATTTTTTCGAAATACTTTAAGTAATTATTTTTTCTTATTTTTTGTGCACTTCCTCATTAAACCTTAATAATCAATATAAGATTGAAAACAAGATTCTTTACTAAAGGTGAAATAGCGGTCTCTTGTTCACCCTGAGGACCAAACCAAAAAGGCTGTTCCTGATCCTAGAGAGGGGCTTATATACACTTACAACATAGCATTGAATTTTGGAAGCGCAAGTGCCCTTATCTGGTAACGGACTGAAAAAAATTAAGCGTAGAGCCTTTCCTTTTAATTTAAATTGTACTTTTTTTTAAAAACAATACAACACGATAGCTACCCTTACTTAGAAAGTAGCTGCGAGACTGTATGGGTCGTTCTCTCTTTACCACACATAAAGGTTCGTTTAAAGATAGTAAAATTTACAAATTGTTTACTTTTACAATTACAAAATAAAAAAAACACAATTTTTTATATAGTAAAATTTATGTCTGTTCTCAACTTTTCTTTTAGCATCTAATTCAAAATTAGTTAGCCCAAAAAAGCTTTTATACAAACAATATGTAACCTCTTAGCGTAGAAACCGCCTTAAAAAGTGATTGGGCTCTAACGTAACAAAGTATACATAACACCCAAGACACGATTTAAACCTCAAAATAAAAAAACAAAAATATAAAAAAAAATTAACATAGATTACAAAAAATATTGTATAATAATATAATACATTAAGTAGAAAGTACACAAGCATAAAACACGTATATTTATAAACATAAGCACAAACAAAGAAAACAACAGAAAAACGCAAAACACTGACCCTCTAACTTTTCACAAGAAGAATGATCATTATCAATCCAATCAGATATCTGAGAAACAACCAATAAAAATACAAGAAATGAGAATGCTAATTTCATTACATAAAAAATTTAATTTGACTTATATTATTAATCGGATACAATATAACAAAGTAAAATTTTATCTGGTTCAATTAAATTTACTGTACATATATGGAAGCAAACCGCCTTTTTGTGAAGGTGTAAATAAGCCCGAAACTGGTCAATGGGTTAATCCTTACTTTAATATACTTTTTTTATATACGTTTTTATAGAAGTTTTGATTAACACCTTTTTGAAAGCCTTCCTTAGATCTTACTTCTTTTAATACTAAAGTCCCATGAAATTCTATGATTAATGAAATTGACTTTAATATTTAATTATATCTGTATAATATTTTGAAAACAACACCCCCTAACGACCTTAGTTTTTAAGTGATCCGATCTTAATAAGACATATGTCTTTATTTATATAATTTTTAGTTAATTGTAAAAACTAACAATAATACAGCATCTTTTTGTTGATGTTATGTACATCTTTGCACGATACCGATATTGGCATATAGAGAACACGTACGCACATTTAAGGAAAAAGTTTTACTTTCTTAACGCTGTGCAGACCCTCTACTTTATAAGCTTTAACGATTAAAGAAAAACTTAAATTTATTAATAACAAAAATTTAACAATTAGAAAAGCGTGATTTTAAAATTTCGAATAGAATGTTTGGAAAATACCTCTCCCTGCAGTCAGCCACCTCACAACTAATTAATTTAATTACTCAGCTATTTTCCATTAAACTGGAGACAAGCGGAAGTTGTTTTTAGACAGAAAACATCGTTCTCAAGCAATGTGCAAAGGACTTTCGTTTCATAAGTCTGCTTAACTGCTTATGAAAAGTTTAAGAAAGCTTTACCTTCTCTTAGAACAGCAAAATTATTAATGTTACGTAATTATCATTATACTCAGCTAGCTAGGATCAAATAATTTTAATACTCCATTTTATAATCTTTTAACTATTATCAACTTAATTTTTTAGCTTTTTACTAATATTTACTTTTATAAATATAATTACTATGCCCGTAGAACCATTACTTACACGCCAATTAGTCTCTTAGTGTGAAGCCTTTAAAAAATAACTTTTGGATACGTAGGCATAGATCAGCAAATATAAGCCATTATCGATTACCTAGACCACGTTTTAAGATGCTTACAGCAAACAAACTAAATAAACTGTTTCCCAAGGAATTTTTTTTAAGAGCGGAACACCTACTCGTATTCCGCCACCAAGCGATGCCACTATGGCTATCATCATTTTTTACAAGTTGCCTTTTAAAGACGATATATTTTTAAACAAGGAACTGATCTTTTCACCAACAAAACCTCTAATAGTTTAGAAATGGACCAAGAAAAATCTGTTAATATATTTTGTGGCTCCAAGTTTACCTTTTAACAGCCAATAACTGCCATAACATTATCAAACTTCTTGACATCAATGTGTAATGTTATATGTTTTGCCTGAAAATGAATGCCTAACAGTGAAATTACGATTGTAAAAGACCTTACTTTTCAATCTATAAAGGTCATTAGAATGAATAAAGATGATAAAATTAATGGTGTGTTGTGCTTGAAAAACTATTGAATATAAACAAAACATTTAACTTTACGTCGACTTGTTGTTACTATCAAATTTGTGCAACCAAAAATAATATTTACCAGCATAATAGATCCCAATTAATTAGGCACAAAAAAAAAACTGTAAAACTAAGCGTCGCTTTGTACTGTAGACATAAGCACTTTTTTCTTGATTGCCCGTACCTTACGGACATACCCTGTGTTTGCGCAAACTGTGAAGACAATAATCCTGTAAATTATTGTGGCGATATTACCATAAAACTTTTAGAGTTTAGCTTTTTTTAATTTTTTTAACTTTGTTAAATACCACACCGCATTCCACACATGATACTCCACTGCCATGCTTAACAACTCAATTCAACCCTGTAAGATGAGCCCCACAACTTTTGTAACAGGCTGGATTTAGTTCTTTAATGCTAATCTCCACTATCGTATAAGTAATCCTTTGTTTATGGTAACGGGTGTGTTAAGAAAAAGTAGTGGTACTATCATAATTTATGGTTTTGGAAAAATGATTTTTCTTAGAGAAATGCGTTTAATTTATGACTAGCAACCTTAAATAATTGCTGATGTATTTCCGTGCAATCTTTATAAAAAAAAATTGGCTAAAATTTTGACTTTTTAATAGTCTTTTGTTTAAAACCTATCTGACAACAGCTCTTTATATAATACAAAAAAATATAAGCTTATATTTTCTGTTTTTGTGTGATAATGTATAAAATTTTCGTCAATGTAAATAAGTCATCAAATAATTTATAAAAATATATGAACCTTTCCTTATGTGTAAACTAGAGCAGTTTATTAGAACATCTGTGAATAACATTTTTAAAGGGAAAAAAGATCATTAACTTCAAGTAATATAATTCTTCATGTCGCGCGTCCTCAGCGTGATAAAAACTGATTTGATATGTAATAACACTATACACGGAAAAGGCGAAATCATAAAGGAAAACTTATTTATTATAGGCAACCAAGCCGTGTCCTGTTCAAAAGGTTAAGAAGGTCCCCCATTTATGTTTGTTCTGCTTAAATTTAAGACACCTAAATAAACACGTTTAATTGGGCCCCATTTTTTTAATAATGTTTCTGTGTAGTAAATTTTTAAGTATATGTGTAATTTTTCAATAAAATGAAAGGGGTACATCTACTACTTAAAAGATCCCTAAATCATATTGCCCCCTTAGTTAATTATTAAAAACTTAAACACTTCTGGCGTAAAGCCTATCTTCGATCAAAACTGAAAACATAAATAAATACAAACAAATATAAAAGCACTACGTATTCTTGCGATAGATGACTTTTTAAGTGAACAGTATGAAGCAAATTGCTGGAGGGAAGCTTAACCCGGTCTATACATATTCATATTAGTGTCAAACGCTAAGTAAAGATAAAATAAGTAATCTTTGTTTGAAGTTTTATAAAAACGTAAAGTATCGTTAATAGCAATAATAGGAAGATCTATATTCGTTTAATAGTAAAGTCTCTTTACGAAAATAGATTTGAAAAGTTAAAGTTGTTTGTGTGAATACAGAGAAAGCCCTTCACCAGCCTCGAAGATGGCTAACCCCAGTATGGGAGTAGTGAGGTCATATGGACTACAATGCGTAGCTAAATCAAATAAAGCTCTGTTCTACTTTACGAATTAAGATCCTGTCGGAATTCCTTGAAGGTATAACTTGTACCTTTATGGAATATTTTTGAGAAGACAGTGAGGCAGCACTATAAACAAGGTTTACGAAGCTTTACTTTAAAGTTAAATAGTTTGCCTTAGACTTACTCTCTTTCATATACCCTGAATAAGAGTTTACGGCTACTTTGGTGGTAAGGGCACTTCCAGTGCTAAACTGTAAAGTGCCATTATTCACTCCTTACTTTATATCTAGGGATGCCCCATACCTATCATTTTATCATTAATCGAGTAACCGGAAAGGAGTTCTTTTATCTTTCACTTTTTATTATTGTATCAATTTTGTCAATTGTTATAAAGCGTATGAAACAAAGTACTGGGAAGTAGTTCATATGATAATAAACGTCGTGCACCTTCAGTTTTCGCCTCTTAAAATTTAAACTTAAATGTCCCCGTAATGCTTTCTTATAGAAGGCGCTCCCTAAACCCTAGGTCTAAGGTGACTTATGATAATCGTAAAACAAAAAAAGGCAACCGCTGTAACTTCACTAGGTAGGTATGATAGATATATAACATGAAAATTTATAATTAAGCCTTTGTCTTTTTTCTCCTCCTATCGGACAGCTCTTCCAAGGTTAATTAGTTTTAAGTTAAAAAGCAATTTTTTATTGGTCCTCTAAAATTAGATCATTATATTAACACAGAGTCCTACTCAAATTAACCTTAAAACAAGATTACTACTACCAAAAACCACATCAGACACAGGCCACTTTGTTATTGGGTATTGTCATTAACTCAAAAGTGTACTTATGCTCGTGTTAAAAAAAACGGAAACTGCGATTTTCACAAATACACCCCCATGTTGAGAAACTTGTACAAACAATATTAAGATCTTTATATTTGCTTCCTCTAGGGCGGTTTCTCAAAAAGTAAGATTTATTTGCAACGATTTAAAAAAAATGTTCAAATAATAGCCTTTTAATAATGCTCCTTTTTTACCTTATATAAATTAATAGTGGAAAATGTTTGCATACGTATATAAGTGGAGTTACATTTATAAAAAAAGTGGAGTGCAAAAAACTAAATGTGTTTAAAAAATCTAACTTAAGAAGTAATTTCCGAAATAAGACAAACATTTTCAATCCGAAATATTTCCTACATTTTCATGCAATGCCGTGTTGATTTTGTAACTTCAAAATTTCCACTTAAGGTGAACTGCATAAATAAAAACATCGATATTTAAATTGAAAAAGAGTATAAAAATACCGCTAATAATACTTGACATCATCATAATGACGGGTGAATCTCTCTTCGAACGATTGTTTTAAAAGTAAGACGAAGTCTTAAATGTTTCTTTCTGCCATCAGTTCTTGCATTCAAACAAAATGTTGCTGTTTACCTTTACCAGCTGTTTTAAAAGTGTCAGTCTTGATTTGATAGCCTAGCTAGCGCCGATTTAACTATATATGTGAGCCATAATATCTGCTAAAAAAGCAAAAGCCCTAATTAATTCCTGAGAACTGAACATTTCCCAAAGAGTTGAATTTTCTCTTTTAGATCTTCCAAACCTAAATTTCTTAAATTTCAATACTTTTTTAGTGCTTGTCCTCGAAATAATTACTTAACAATGCAATGCAGCCCTGACTCAAATTTGGTTGAATACAAATGCGGAAGTTATCATCTTTTACGGAATTGAAAATGGACTCTGATTAAGTACGTCTCATACAACGAGTATATAACACCATATGCCCCAATAGTGTTCTTTTCCGTAATTTTATCTCTTGAAGTAAACTACTCTTCTTTTAAATAGGAAAAAAATTGATAACACCTTTTTTTCTTCGTGATTGGCTTTCAAAAATTTTATATAATAGTTTGTCACTTTTTAGTTTGTTATATCCTTACCAAGCCGAAAAGTGGGTCCCACCTCGAGAAGCAATAAATCAGTTGTTTAGGAATTATGTTTTAAACTAGCTGCTATCAACGGTGGTAGATCACAGAGAGTGTAGATAATTATTAAGTTCAATTCATCTTATTTATATTTAATACCGGTTTCTACACGGAGTATTGGCACCAACCACCTTACCACAATCTAGGGAAAAAATTTTCTTTACCCTGTAATAGTCGGTTTTATGTTCAATATAGATAAACTCGCCGACACCTATCCCACAAAATATAAAAGTGAGTAGCTAACACTCTGACTTACGAGGGAAGGGCTTTTCCAGTCTTCATAGGTATACTTTAGGATACACCAATTAACCTGGCAGATTAGTTTTTAAAATTATATGACTTTTTCTATAAAAAACAGGTTTTTCTTAATTTTCCTGGTTATCGCAAGGTCTGTTCTTTGAGTTGTTGACAACTAACCTTTAGCCTTAAGGTAGTCGTATCGCCAAAAGTTCTATATAAAGCGTACTATTCTTATTTCAGCAAATTAAAATATATCTAAATATAGTAAAAAAATTTTAATGCAAGTTAATAAATATATTCAAGGATAAACTTAACTGTATCTTCTTACTTATAACACCATGACCAGCGCAACAGATAAATACTAAAGGCTTATCTTAATTAAGAATGTGAAAATTAAGTACTATGCCACTGCGGATAATTATAAGTCAGGCCAACCAAAAAGTTAGTAAAAGCCTGCACTAATTCATTAACGAAAAATGTTTTAAGGTAAACGCAATTAAAGTACTAGAAACTTTTGAAATTGGGGGATAACGAGGGATAAAGTTGCGTTTAATTATTACAACTACCGTCATTCATTAGTTACTACATAACAGTAAAAGAGGATGGAAAACTTAAATTTAATATTTGTATTTACGTACATTTACGTATTAACTATAAAATATATTGACTTTTCCTAGATAAAAAAAACTTAACTCTTTTATATTTTCACAAACGTTATATAGTAATTCCAAAAAAATTACTGGAAAAAATTGGTGTCCTACTTAAAAACTTTTTTCTTTTAAGACAACTATTCATAATTTTCTTATCCATGTACAGCCTTCAAATGATAATTAATTTTTTATTTACCGTAATACTCTTGTAATATTTTGTTATACTTTTTGATAAAACTTAAGTAACATAAATGAGTACATTAAATAAGGAAGCCAAATTATATGATAGTTAGGGCTTATGCTGGAAAAGCTTCCTTTTTCATTTGGCCCAATAACTTTCCAAATATACTTTGGTTGAGTCTGAAAAAAAGTCATTTAAAAGTGTAGTAACGTGGTTAATAAGATAGGCTTCCGAAGAACTACATAAGCTTAAATTAATAAGTCTCGCATCTTTAAAGTATCAACACTCTCAAACTTTCTAATACTTTCTGTGCTTCGCTTTGTCTTAGTTACTCAAGCAAACTTAATGAAGGTATTTTAAATTGAGCTAAACTTAATAAAATCCGTTAAGGTGAAGATGCATAAATAGTTCATTCCATATTTAATCTTTTTAAATAATTTTTAATTGTGCTTTAATGCTTTAATGTAAGCAAAGTTGACATGATAAAGACAATTCCGTAAACAGCAAAAATATTTTAACACTATGTTGTAGATCATAAAAGGAGCGTTCATTCCAAGACATATTATAACTAAATTTTAATGTGTTTATAGGTTTGAAACTCAATCTAAGCTTGTAGTTTTTGTCTTTTCCTCAGCAGCTACGTAGATGTTGAATATTCTTCGTTGACAGACAAGTCTCCTGATGGAAGCTAGACTCAAAATCTATTGAGACATTCTAACTTATATCTTCTAAACAATTGTTAAGACCTTTAGTAACCAGTTAGCTTAATTGAAAGTTATTATTAATAAGTATTAAGGATAATATATAATGTCTGTAGGTTTAACAAAAATATTAAAATAACTTGGCGAGTGCCGAGATTTTTAATATATGATTTTTATTTTTTATGTGATAGACGGTATATATATATTAGCAGATATTAAATTTTACAAGGTACTTAACCTTTAAACCTCAACATAAATTTATGTTAGCATAGGTTTTAAGAATTTTTAAGACCATAAGTAATAATTAAGAATTCATATAAGTGGTTTAGTGACTTGCTCTAATTATCTTATTCAATTTAATAATGAAAATAACTTGTAAATTAAACCACCACTAGTATCACTTACAGTCCTTTTTTAATATGAGCTAGTTACTATAAAACTCTTTTAAGGCTTTTTTTCTCACTACCATATCTTGATACCTTTTAACTAAACAAACCAATAGGCGTCAATCTTTTGTAGGCGATTGCGTAGAAAACTTTTTTTTGCGCCTAGAAGTTATTATAAACAGTTGGGTAGACCTACAGAGCCCTTACATTTGTTTATATTGCTTGGCATTCCAGGTGGGTCTTTCTACTCTGGCGCGAGCCTATTTTTTTTTCTAGTGCACTTAATACCTATTGCAATTTTCTTATCTTACTTTTATCTAATATTTTTTCCTAAAAATAACTTGACTGTATACTTATTTTCTCATCAGTATTTGTGTGTCTCTTTAAAACTTTTTAATAACAAATTATCGAGAGCTTTTTATTTATAAAATATTAATAAGATTATTATCTAACCCTGGATTTTTATTGTCTACTCTAAGGTTTTATAAACATAATTAAAATGACGGATGAATACGCGGAAGCTTTCAAAAAGGAAGCAGATGATCCTAGTATGCAAGCTTATCTCCGAAGTTTGGGTCGGTATTTATAGGGAATATAATTGTTATATGACCATTGCTAAACTATCTGAGTTCTTTGTACTAAAATTATTTTACTTCAGGTCTAGATCCTGACTACGTTCCACCTTCAGATGATCCTCGGCGTGTGGTCGTGAAATCTTTATCCATCGTCTTTAAGGAGCATGGGCCTTCTGCCGTAATTGATTTTAACACTGATTACGATGGAAAGTTAAATATTATATAGAACTTTTTAAAGAAACCTTTTCATTGGCAATAGGACTTATAATTGTGAATTTATAATAGGAACGGAGAAAACTGTTATCAAGCATAAGGAGCCTCTTATTATAAAGGAGGGTACAGAGTTTAAGATGTTGGTCGAGTTTCGTGTACAACATCAAATCGTGCACGGCTTTAAAATACACAGTAACAATAATTATATATATATATATAGCAATTCACTACTTTTAAGCCAAACTCCAAAAATTTTAAAATAGCGCCATTTTTACTAAATTTTATCTTGCTTGAGTAAACATATAACTTTTTTTCTTAAAAAATATATTTAATTTTTATGATCACGTTTATACTGTTATCATTGTCTCCAATATTATAGGCTTTTGTAAAAAAAAAATTTTAACCAGAAGAACTTTGACTAACTATACTAAAGAGTAGTGTTTCCTTTAAACACAGATTGTTTTTTGTTTTCTTAAAAGGCGTACTTGGCTTTTCTTTTTACAACTGCAGTTCTCTTTATAAATTAAGTCAATTTTTACGATACAATTAGAAAAAGTGGGACTGTTAAGAAACTTTGTCTCCCCTTTACTTTTTACGAAAAGAATTTTATTTTTTTCTATCTTTAGCCTTTCACTTTATTTTCACTGTAAACATAATTTTTCAGGGGTAAACTTTTAATCTTTGCTATAACAGCTATAACTTTATTAATCTCGCTGGCGTTAAGGGTTAAATATTTTTTGGACACAAAAAATTTTTCTGCATTCAACAAGTTTGATTCATTTTCAAAGGAAACTTAAAAAATAAGGAAGTTTTTAGCGTTCCTATAATAGAAAAGAGTGTCTCACTCGAGGATCAGCCTGTTTTTGTTTTACTTATACTCGATACTGCCACCCTCTACCTTCATAAATCTTCACATGAAAACTTGCGTGGAATTTATTTTTCTCTTTTTTTAAACCTTTCTGTCCGATCTTTTTTTAGGCACTGTAAAAAAGATGGGCGCGTCTATTGTTGATGAGACTGTGATGTTGGGCTCCTACCCTCCATCTAATAACTTCAAGACCGTTACAATTCAGGACTACCAACCAGCCCCCTCCGGAACCGTATGTTTCTCAATTTTTTTCTACGATCCTTCATTCTTACTTATAAAATAGAATTCATCAATAAATTTTATAAAGTTTTTAAAGTTTTTATTATTGCTCTTAAATTTATTTAAATTCTTTTTAAATTAATTTGTTTGTAAAGATTATAGCCATTAAAAAGTTTATAAATTAGTTATTTTTTTAATCAAAATTTTACTATAGAGTGCTCCCTTTTTTATAAGGCTGATTTCATAGAAATTTTTTAATCTATTAATAAATAAAACTGTTTTAATTTATTATTTGGTTACCCGCATTCCAGCTTGGGCGAGGAGAGTATATGTCCCATATGAAGTTTTTGGATGATACTAAGAAGCTCTACCTCGACATTGAATATAAAATCAAAATCTCCAAAGATTGGAAGTGAAAGTCCTTTAGAGCTTTCGTAGTGTAAAAACGCGCTACTCTAAAACGGCTTTCTTGCGGAACATTTGTATTGTATCTGTTTTTAGAAGATCAATAAAATACTTCCTTATTATAATAAGTTCTATTATTTTTTACCTATATTTCGTATTATGCAAAAACTTAGTTAAAGTTGTTTAGCAATTGATTTTTTTTTTGCATTACTCAAACATTAGTAGTAATGCGTAGGAAACGCTTAATAATAATGGTTAAATCTTTTAATAAATAAAATTAATGACTAATGCTCAGCATTATTAATAACAAAACTTTGAAGCATAATTGAAATTATATAAAAAGTATAACGCCGGAGCCTCTGTAGTACTTGAAAACTACTTCCGTTTAAAAGCAAACTTTTGTTAAAAAAAAAATTTAACTATTTTCAGATAGTTCGCTTTAACTTTTAATAAGAAAATAAGTTTCTGGTGCGAATCTTATTTACTTTTGGTTGAAAAAATTTTCAATAAAAAAACTCAACACGTTATTATAGTAACCTCAACGACATTGCACCATAAATTAAAAAAATTATTGTTTTATTTTATAATATCGTAGCAGTATTAAAAAAAACCTACACAGAAGCACACCAGCTAGAGGTGGCAGTTACGTTTCATAGAAGAGTTGATTGCTTCTTCGACGATTTGCTGGTCCAGATTTCTGAACGGTTAATACAGAGAGTAAATGATGAGGTTCCTTTCTTTTAATATCACACCAAAGTTTAAATGTTTGGTTGGGAAAAAAATTATTGAAGAAAAAAAGTACAAAGTTTAAAAATTGCATTATAAATTTTATAAAAAAATTTATTTGTTTGTAAATCAATAATTATTTGCTGGTGGTATAAAATGAAATATTAATAAAGCTAATTTATAAGCTTGTTTATAGCGGCATTAACATCTTGTGAATTTTCCGGAAGGAACAGTAAAAAAAAAGACACTTACAAATATTTTGGTATATTAATAAAAAGTTTGGGATCCGTATCGATAACGGAGCATTCATACTGGTAAGAAATATCGCCTTTCGGATCCACAACGAGATCTTTTTTGTTATTGGAGTTTCTACGGGATAAAAAATTTGAATATATCCACGCAACTTCTTACAGCTAATTTTTTTTACTTTTCTTCTCTTATAAGAGTTATTATGACGGAGACGTCCTTGCTAGTAGCGGCTACTAAAAACTTTCGGATCTTCAATATTTTATCTTCAAGCCGAAAGAAGGGGAGTTGTGAAGGGAGTGGGTCTTTCGATTTCTTATAATCCGCAAGAACGAGTTGACACGATGCCTCATTCCAATCTTATAGTAGACAGTTATAAAATTAATCATATCAAATAAAATTTAATAATAAATACTGCGCTCACGCAGGTAACTAAATTTCATTTAGCAACTCGACAAGCTTTTAATAAAACCGCAGTTATCATTTAACCGCTATATTAATTTATTATTTGCTACTGTGGAGTTTTTAATAATGAATTTACTACATGAAACTAGCTTTGCCATAGATTTTGTTAAGTAAAAAAAAAATTTAACAAAAAATTAACCATCGAAGAGTGCGCAAGCTTTGGTCATACCGAGTTCTTCAACGATAGAAACATAAAGTTGATAGATGGCCTCCACGTCTAACTCGTCCCCAAGTTGGACCTCCTTAATAATCTCTGCAATCAGCAATGATTGTTAACTTTTTAAAGAAATTTCAAAAAAAAATACGCAGAATTTGGGTTTTCATAAGAACTTGAGTCAGAAGCTCACAATAAAGAGCAAGTGGATCGTCGCTAGTAAAAAAAAATTGTGTGAAACTTTCTTCAACGTGAAGCTCATCTCTCAAAAACTCTAACCTTTCAAATACACGAGAAAAAACTTCTTGTAAAACCGAGAAAAAGTTTTCGTTCTATTATTTATTTAAAGCTAAATGTGGGTGACAAGTCGTTAATATTTATTATCTCCTACTAAACGCTCTGCAGTGCTTTTTCTTATAAATACGCACCCGTTTTATAGAAACGTTATTGATAGTAACTTTCATGTTGTTTTGAGGAGAATGAAGCAACGAATAAAGAGCTTTCTGCATCCTAACGGGATCGTTGGAATACAGGTCCAATGGGCAAAAGCGACTAACTAAAATACATCAAAAAAAAGGTAAGAATTCCAATAAGCCTCTACTATAATCCATTAAAAAAACGCAAATTACTTTTTAAAAAAATTTAAATTTGGTAAAATGCCTTAAATGTTCAGTAATAAGTAAACGCGACCACCAGAATTACGAGAGTAACAAATTACACATAACGCAGCGATATTGCACAAATTTAAAAAATTAAGACGAGCTAAAAATCAAAAACCAGAAACCTAATTTTTTTTAAAAACAAAATAATCTTTTTATTAATTTTTCAGAACTTTTTAGCATTACACGTGAATTTTTATTATAAAATATACTATTTTAGTAAAACTCTGAACTTCTACACAAACACGAATTTTAGTTAAAATGTTTCGAAGGTGCGCCGAAGAATCACTACAAAATAACTAGCTGTGCTTATCATCACTTAATAACCTTAATTTTACAAAATTAGCTAGTAAATTAATAAATCTACTTGCGCTACGCAATTGTTAAAATCCTTGGTAAAAAAGATCAAGTTACCTTTTGCAAATTCTACTAGATTATATAAATTAAAAATTTTAAAGCTTTAAAAAATAATTGTACATGTACTTAGTAGAGTTAAACTCTCCGCTAATAAATAAAAATTATCTAATTAGTTGTGGAAGTAGTAAAAATATAAATAAATAAATAAATAATTAAAGTTTGTTATACTTTCGTTTATTACTCCCGCTTTGAATTTAGTTATTTGGTGCATGCAAAAGCGGCACATCGTTTGCTTTATTCTCTTGTGCTTTTCATTTATAAAAGGCGAGTTCGGAAGAAATCCCCACTTCGGCTAAAAACAAAAAGAAATGAAACTTTTTAAAAGATAATTATAATAATAAAAGAAAAAAGTATACAGATCTGCATAACAAAAAAATATAATTAAAATAGTATAAAATATTGTTTATAAGAAAAGTCTATAATTATAATTAATATTAATAATTAGTATAAATGTATATAAATAATTTTAAATAATATTTAAATTTATTTATTATTTTTTTTAAATCTACAATTATTATAATTTTATGTTTTATATATTTATAATATATTTTTTTAATTCTGATAATTATACTATTATTTTATTTAATTTATTATATATAATTTTTATATATAATAATTATTTTGTTTAATATTTTTTAATTTAATTTATTATTTTTATAATAATTTTCTTTATTTAAAGCTCCTATTAATTATAAACATTATATCTATATATAAACAAACTTCTTATATTAAACTATTCCATCAACGATGAGAAAATTTAATATTAATTAAGTTAGTGGTAGTAATAAATTACACTGCAAAACTACAGAATGCTTAAAAAAAATATATATATAAAGTGTTAGCATTGCTGCGGTGTAAAAACCTTAAGCTCAACAGAAATATGAAAATTAGATTGGAAAAAATTATTTCTGGAAAAACAAAAAAGATCGCGCATCAGCAAGCAAAAAGATTCTTCAAAGTCCAATTCCATGCCACAACGTTCTTTTGGCCTCACCGGTTGGATCTAAAAGAATTTTTTGCAAGCGACAAGTAATTTAAATTCGAAGTTGTAACAATTAATTTAATTATTAACATTCAGAATAAAAGAGTTTAGGGATCAATCATTTAAAACTTTGCTTAATTATTTAATAATGTTATTTTATAAAAATAGTTTTATTACCATAAAAAAGGATAATTTACTTTTCAAAAATCTTAAGGCAAACTTTTAATTACTACGTGATAAAAAGGGGATAGGAGATAAAAAGTTTTTGTTTACAGCTTTTTTAAAAGTAATACAAAGAAAAATCAAGACCAAAGAGTTGACATTTTGAAGAAAAAGTCGATCCACCTTAACTAAAGTCTAAATCAAAAAAAAATTTATATATTTTTGATAAGCAAAGTGAGTGAAAGAATAAACTCGGCCTGTAAAATTCTTGTAGAAAATATGATTTAACAAAAGATTATTTGTTATTATTATAAATAGCTATAAATATGAGTATAGTAAGCACCGTCTTAACAGTATAATTTTTTAATATAGGAGCCATCAGTAACTCAGTAAAGTAATAATTAGCCAGTACTGGAATTTTTGGCTTTGAAGTGTTGCGTTTACTAATCCTTAAAACTTTGCCTTTATAAATATTATTTTCTCCTATATAACTTAAAGTTACATTAGCTCCACCTTAGAAGTAATAAAAATAATATTAACAATGTTAATATTGTCATTAGTATAAAAAAATTTAAAAATCATGTACTAATATTAGTTATAATCAACCTTCATCTCTGTATGCCCAGTCCACGGCTTTTGAGTCAAGGTTAAAAAAATTGGTTTCCATTAATAATTATATAGAAATAACTTTACTTAAAATAAAATGTGCTTTATTCTTAACAAATGAAAACAGAATCGTTATTATTCTAACTAAATAACAGTTACTTCGGTTTCACTCACTCCGCCAGCAGATATAATATAATAGATTTGCCCCTATGTACACAAAGGTGACTTCCAAATTTCTAAACTGAGTAAATGTCATTATATTTGTGTATCTTTCTTCTTTTGCTCGTTAGTATATTTTATACTTTTATATGCTTTTACTTAACGTTTACGCCTTAAAAAAAAGTTTCTTAAAATAATTAAGAATTCCATATTAGTTGTTTAACTTACTAAATTTTATTGTCACCATAATCAAAATATAAATAAGAGTAAAGCTATGACTACTTTGTACAACTGCAGAAGAGAATTTTAAGTTAGAAACACTATCAGTAGTTCCTGAAATTAATAAGTTAGACTTTTATTAAGTAAACAGCCGGATAGGAAGGATCGTAGTCGAAGCAAATTAATCCCCAAAAAAGATTATCAAAAAAATGTCAAGATTGAAAATTGTGAAATATGTTGAAAGTCTTGAAAGTTGAATTAATGCTAGGCAAGTTAAATAAGTGAAGACTTGATTTTTCAACCGATGCAAGTGAGATTATGTATCGTTAGAAAGTTTAAATTTAATAGCACTTAAAGAAATATAGCACATCGGGCTGCGAAGGTTAGCTAAGGATTGACGTGCTACTTATTTAGTTAAGTTAACGATGATAAGAATTAAAACATAGAAGCTTGTTGAGTTGTGTAATAGTTGATATAGAGAGTAACAGGTTGAATAAGTAACGCAGATCCTAAATTCGTTCGCTGGGATCCTGCGTATACTTATCAGATGACAAGGACATAACAGTTTACTCTCTAAAACAGTATAAGCATATAGCCAAGGCGATTAGCTGGCGATCGGTAATGAAATGGCAGTCATTTCCTATAAAAAACTTCCCTTTTAACGTATTGATTGGGTTTTTAAAATTTGCAGTGCCTTCCATTATTCTTTTTTACAAATATTTTTAGTTAACCGCTAAGTCGTGTACAAGTAAAAGCTTTCTTAGGTTTTCTTTTTAAATTTAATGTAGAACTTTCTTATTCCAAGTATATTAACAATAATAAAACAGTTGTAGTAAATTGCTCGTCGCTATGTTACTAAGTCAGCCTCTTGACCAAAACAGCCGAATTACTGTATTGTAGATTAAATTTAATGTTCTTATTGTATATAATTGTTTAAAAACTGTGAGGTGTTATATAAATTGTATTAGAAAGAATATCAACTTTAATTCTGGCCTTTTTTTGACGGGTGCATAACTAACACTACGAATTCATAATATTTTAAAAAAAATGTGCAAAAAATACTATTTAACCAAAAAATTTTAAATTATTGCAAATTACAGTTCGTTCTTGTAAAGTTAGTAGAGGATATAAAGTTCTCAGCAATCAGTGAAGTATCATATAGGGCGGTAGACTTTAATAAAAAAACGGTAAATTTCACGGAACTGGCTTACTTGAGTCACTCAGTAGCCAGCAGGCTCTTATTACGTACACCAAATACTCGCGACCAAAACATTTCTTAGCTCTATTAGAGGAGAAATATAACTAAGTTTATAGGTATATTTTATTAAATTCTATTAATTGTTTTTTAAAAATATAATGGTATTAAACTAAACTATTTTATAAATGTAACGTTATTATCACTTTGCTATCACGTATTTATTGATGTATACTATGTAGCAGTGATAAAGCGCACCCGTTCTTCTCATTTGATAGCGTAAAGAATCGTTAGGGAAGTTATAGTCTCCGCACCCTCAATTACTAGAAGAGAGAGTAGATTAAGCGGTAATGGATTACTAATCACGCCTGTAGTAAGCCTGTGCTATATAATTAAAAAACAGCAATGCGTGGATATTGACTAGTGTTTTTTTTACGCCAAACAGCGGAGTCCGGTTTCGATATACTTCCGCTGTTGCTCAGTGCCTCAAGGTAAGCTATCGTTCAAAATTGTTTCAATGTTTTGCATTTTTTTCATTTAATATAGAATAACTTTTTAATAACGTAATGTATTACTTTGAAATTTATACACAGTAAACTTATATGTCCTAGCTACACTTTAGTAATACTTGATCTTAAATTGGTTTAATATTCGGAAAGATATTAGCTTGTAAAGTTGAAAGATTATAGAAATAATTTTGCACGTAGAAAAAATTTAGTTTAATAAACGAGGTTTTAATAATTAGTTTAGCTTCTTTTGCCAGAATCACTGCTTGTATCCTCTTTGGCATACTGGCGATCGAACTCTAGAATCGATTCGGTGTTATATTTTACCATTCTGATGGTACACGTGTCCGAAGCTCATTCCAAGTTAGCAGGAGCTGATTAGTATGATTCCAACTTTCTCTTCAAGATCCCCCATGCATGCTCAATGAGATTGAGATCAGGAGATTGCGGAGTCCAGTCTGCATTTGGGACGACTGTAATTGGGGCTATGAGAGCACAGATAGTGCAGTGTGACATGGAGCATTAAACTGCTGAAAAACCGCTTCAAGACCAAGGCCATACCAATCGCATGTTCTGGGTAGGTCAATCTTATTAATGCCTAGATACGTGCTGCGGTGAGGCTTCCTGACACTTTTATCAATCCTACCCCCTTAGTTGTTATACAGGACCAAATCATAATCGATCCTCCCCTATGTTTATACGTTTGCATCCCCTGGCGTTCAAGTATTCGACAATCGCCAGATCGCTTCCAATACCACCTGATACCATCTGAACCATATCGATTGATCCTGGTCTTGTCCGAAACAATTACTTTTTTCCAAGTCAAAAATGGACCAATTTTCGTACTTCTTCGCAAACTCGAATCTTAATCGCTTGTGACGGTCTGTTAAAGTGGGTTTAATTACCTTTTTTTTTCGCACGGAGAAAAGCAGAATGAAATGCTCTCGATACGGTCGATCTTGAAACTGGTCTACCTAATGTTTTGTTTCCGGGATTTTTGAAGCTTTCTGTGCAGATTCAGTTGCGCCCCACGTCACTTGTCGTACAAGTCAAATTACATCCAAGTTTTCCAACTTCTTTGGACGTCCAAGTTCATTGCAAGGTCGATTTGGATCATAATGAGCTTTGATCCGGGATACTGTGACCTTACTAACACCACATTCACGAGCGATCTCAGTATGAGGCTCTTTAAGTAAGCAATCCTTTAAAGTCACTCAAACGCATAAAAAACCCTCCTATGATGATGATCATGAAACTTTCGTATAAAGATTGAAACAATTTTGCACGGGGGGTCACGTGCAGTATCGTATCAGTTGATACTTGAATTTTAAATAGCGATAAAGACTTAAGAAAGCAAATCCTCTAATACAAACTACATTAAATAGATCTCAATCTAAACTTACATATATATCAGGGATCCATATAACCAATTAATAAAGCGTTATAGAATTTTTACGAAAAAATTTACAACAGTAACAATTTTGAAAGATAATGTTATGGTACTTCTTTATATTAACAGGTTAAGAGAGGGGTGCCGAATATAAACTAATTTTTAATGATCTTTTTTTAAAATTTAAGGAATTAACACTAAAGGCATCAGTATTTACTATTTTGACTTGACAACAAATTTAATGGAGTGCTTTTTATTATAGATTACTTTACTTACTTATTTTAGGGCAAATAACTGTTACGAATAAATTATTATAGTTAAAGAGTATTTAAAAAGAATTATAGAACTTAATGCCTATCTTGTTTACTTCAAAATAGCAGTATTATATATAATAAAAAAATGCATAAGTAGTTTTAGTAATACTTTTAAATATTTAAATCCTAGTTAGATGCTATAAGATATTGTCCCTCAAAAGAGCTATAATTCCAGCCTATAACTCTAATTTCTGTTATCCCAAACATTTTTTCATATAAGACTGCCCAAAAAAAAGGCGGTTTTCTAAGTCTTTCTCTGTACAATTATAAGTAAAAGCCTTAACAGGGGTAAATGTTGACTTTAAACTATGGTTAAGAGAAAAGCAATATTTTATGACTCTTCTCAGAGGCGGGCTCTCACATACACCTATTCTATTAATTTTAAATATCGCTTAACCTGTTCTTATATATAAGTTAATAGAGCTTATTAACTCTACTGCCCGGAAAGAATATGTTAGACAGCAACAATTTATATTTTAAGTTTAATTGTTAAAAGGTACTGCCTCAGATGGTCTTTTTTTTTGGTAATTCTAAATAGTCAAATAATATACTAATTGAAAGAATCAGGGCGGTAGTGCAGCCTCCTAAAGAGCAGATCACGAAAAGATATAAGATTTTTCCTTATTAAGTTTTTGGCTTTATTTTTTTTTAAATTTTATTTGTGTTTAAAAAGATTTTATTAATTCACTTACAGAAAAGATTTCGCACTTATCCTGTTTATAATAAGCCTACTAAGAGGAACAAGTAAAAAGTGGAGATCCTAAACCCTTTAGTTCTAATAAAAATAAGTGTTTTAAAAAAGATAAACACTAAAGTAAAAAGTGCATCTAAATAAATTGCTAAACAACCTTTAGTCCTTATATCTAAACTTTGTCTACAACTAATCCGATTCAAAGTGGTCTAGTTTAAACACAGGTGCCTGTAAAGAAAATGAATATATAAACTTTTTATAACTGAATAATTACAATAATAAAATATATTAACAATCCAACCGCGCGAGGGACGTCTTCGATTTTCTGTCCTCGTGTTCTTTTCTGATTGGTTATGATGTTTCCTTTCAGCCCCAACAGAAGAATAGTCAAGCGAGTTAAAGAAAAGCCAGAAAGCAACTTGCTACTTGTGTCCAGCTCCGCCGCTTCCCTTTGCTTTTCCCTCTTAAGACCGAGCTTCTGGCAAGCAGCAACAGACGGCTTTCCTTTTTTATATATATTTACTTATGAGCACTTCTCTAGTTAAAAGTAGTGCTCTTTTTATACCTTGAATGCCTGCATTTCGGAGCGTTTCTTTTAAAATGGCAATCTAGCTCAAGGGGAATAGTAGAATGCAAGTAACTAGGAAGTTTTTCTGTAGTATATAATAACTTGTTTTACTTGGGGCTCTTCCCTCAGCATCTTGTAAGGCGGCACGATCCCGCAAAGTCGTACATACTTTTTTAATTTTTGAATTCGTTGCTCTGCAGGCGTAGAAGACTTCCGTTTTTCGCTCGCATTCTTTTTATTAGAGCGTTTTCGACTTCTTCCCGCTGAAGCGCTATTGCTGTAAGAGTTGTCAGTAACAATAGTTTTCTTCTTTTCTGTAGCACTAAGAAGAGCTTCTGAAGTAGTAATATTATTTCCAGAACTTATATTACTGTTTTCAACTTCATCCTAAACATAAAATCCTTTAAAGGCGTAATAATATAAGAGCATTAAAAAATATTTATATTTATAATATACATATATTAAATATTCAATCAGGTTTTACTAGTAAAGCACAATCTACGCTACTTATTAGTCAATTTTTAGTTTTTAATAACAATAAAAGTTGTTTGCAACAAATTGAAAGTTTTATAAAAAAAACTGAGTTGAATAAAACATGATGACAAAGCGGTAATCAAAAGATTTTTTTTTTAATGGGCTCAAATCTATATAATTTTTATCTCTAGGAAGTTAATTATAAAGGCAGCTTACCAAGTATACGCGGACGAGTTGGCTAATAAACTCTTTACATGTTTGATCATCAAGAGTGAAAGTGGGAAGCGCTAAACTAGTTTCCAGTAGACGTCTTATTTGTTTTAGTGTAAATCTAAAATTTATAAAAGGTTTTCGATTAGATGCGTTGCGTTTATCTTATTATTAACAGACAACTTTGATATTAAGGCTGGAAGGTTATAAAAATAATATACTTTTCATAGTTTTTTTCTTTTTTTAACACCGAAAGAACAGCGCTTTTTAATATTTCTTTGTCCAATATTCCCTGACCTGAGTACAAAAGAGAAAGTAAGCGCTTCACTATATACCAAGTAGTAAGAAACACCCGAAATTTCTTGCGACATGGATAGACTTTTAAATCCGTTTATATTTTACTTTATAAAAGGATATGAACTTTGAGTTTGTTTAAATCAAATTCATAAAGTTAGCTGGTTAAGGCCTAACACCAGTTATTTGAAGCAAGCAAAGTTCAATAAATGTTAAACGTGACTATTAGTAAATAGCTTTTAGTAGAGCTCAACCGTGATAGATTCACGGCGCCCCCGTTATGTCTACAACTCTTGTGCTATTGTCGTAGGCTTTGTCGTGATTAATAAAAAAAGGGGTAAATGTTAAGAATACCAACCTTTTTAACAGCTGTTTTATAACATTTTGCCTTCTAAGGCTGTATCTATTTATGCAATACAATCATTTCGATAAGGAAAGTTCAGCTGCTATTAAACACATTATATCACGTACATTGTCCTGTCGAAACTGTCATGTACTGTTCTGATTTATACGTAACCAAAAAAAAACGGTCTTTTGCCTATTTTTATTAATACTAAAGCCCAGCATACCCCGTTCATTTGTAGTAAGTGCTATCTTAATTTCTTGTAAAAAAGTTTAGAAAGCGTTATTCTTGTTTATAGTAGCAGGCTATCTACTTCACAAAGTGCTTAAATTTTTTCATTCAGAACGAGTTCTCTCAGTAACTAAAAATCATCCCCATCTGTGAGAATTCTCACCGGCTAAGGAGTGAACGCCCACTCATGAGAAAAAGAAAAAGCATTTCTTGGTTAAAAAGGTTCGTTAGTAAGGCTCAGAGCGCCATCCGTAGATGGTCTACAAGGTTAATGCAGAAATAACTGGTCTTTGTTCTTGTTGTGGTATTAATTTTAAGGCTATCAAGTAGTGTGTATGTTCGGTAGCTTAGCTAACTACTATGTATACTTCTATTATAGTTTGTTATTAGCCAACTCTATATTTCTAACACCATCAATGCGGTTTTTGACCTTGATAGCCGTGTATTTTGGCCTTCACACCTGTAAATTCTAATAAAACGTTATTACAGCTCGAGTTTTAAAGTAATTTTCCGTACAAAGGCGTCCCCGAAGCTCTCATTAATATTTAATTTACTATTCTTGCTTTATATGGATGGTTGAGACATTGATTAAAGCAACTAATTCTCATAACGGGAACCTCACAAAAAAAAAATTACAAAATCACTAAAAACAATTTATAGAAGGGTGAGGAGCATTAGTGCCATGTATGGCAATTGTTTCTTAATTATTAAATTTAAGTTTGCATAGAAAGCTCAGTACTTTTAAAAAGAAATCAAAAAATTAAAGTTGTTAATAAAATTTTTTAACAAGAGTAAATTCCTGAATCGAAACAACACTATAAAACAACTCTACTGGTTTAATGGATATATTATGTATACTGATATCGGAAGCCCAGAAGACGATCCCCAAAGAAGAAGATGCAAAGTTTAAACAGGAAAAAGTTAAAGCTGCATAACATACGCCGTATAAACCAGGTGGTATGACGTGCGGTAGATCCGCCGATGAATTTACCTTGAGAAAAAGCTGCACTCCATCTACTTTTTTTTAACTTGATTAAGAAATCTCTAAAAATAGTTTGGTTATGGAATATGTTTACAGGGACAACTGCCACGGTATATGATATGAAAGTGAATGTTACTCATATTTACTGAGAACAAACGATAATGCCTTTAAACATTGCAATTTTTAAAGATAATACATGCATTTTTTTAATGACAAACAGACTTTGTTTTTAAAAAGATAAAATGACAATCTTTTAGTATGGGGCCGGTCATTATTGAATGGGCTCAAAATTTTTTTTTAAAATGACAAGTCCCTCAAGAATTGGCGAAAGTGGGATGTCTAAAGGCGGGAGTTTTACAAAAGATGCGACCTCAAAAGAAAAATAGAAACATACAGTCTTCGGTGGCCAACTCGGCGCGTTCGCCGTGCGAGAGAAGCACTGGAGTGGTATACGTTTGAAAGCCAGTGATCGTCTTCGGCTTGCCTGCTTGACCAACCACATCAACTGCCTGACCCACGCGGACAGGGACGGACAAGTGGTGCAGATTCTCGTCGAAAGTCACCAGCATGCGCGGGTGGATCGCCGGGGTGACGAGATAGAGCAAGTAGTGGGACTTGCTTAGCACAGCTACAGAGGAAGGCAGCGGTGACTGGGTGGGATAACGGTAAGGCGTCCAATAGAATACACGCAACTGGTCTTAGCATGTAGCATGACGAAGACAAGAGAGAGAAGAGCAGCTGTGCCCACGTGAGAGAGCTGTGTGCGGTCAGAATGGTACAGGGATATGCCCATGGTCCCCTTCCCTAAGTGCAGCAGCCCCTACCAAAAAAAGCTCATTTTGCAGCGCTTATTATACACATTGCATTATCCTGCCTGCGCAATTCGGGTCAGAAACAAGTTATCGGGGTCCTTATAGTAAAAGCTTGCCAGTTGGCGTAGCATTAAGGCCACGCGGGCATTATTCGTCCCTACGAAAGAAGCGTGAATGGCTGTCATTGGAAGCACACACTCCAACGATGGCACGTGTACCGCAGCCCACCATGCCGAGAGCAAATATCGAATTGTGGGCGACCTACCATAGAGAAGTTCTACGGGACGCAACAATAAGGAGAGGGCAGATCTCACCTCCCTATCGGTATCATGCGACAGCTTGCTGAGGATGTCCAGGACGGGAAGATAAGGGTTCGAGGCGCAGAGCAGGCCGAGGGCAAGGGGCACGGCGCGCCGTATACACTCCTCGCCTGGGAGTAGAGAATACGAACAGTAGAAAAAAACGTATAGCGTGCCGATTACCATATTGCAACAAATGGTTGAAGGCGCGGAGGGCCATGGCAGTGCCAATGTCCTCGCTTATCGCCACGAGGGCAATACCCAGCACGGAAATGGCCCGGTGAAGAGCCACCTCACTCTCTTCTTTTTCCTCCTCGTCACCGCAGTTTTGGAGTAGTTTTTGTATCTTCATAAGGTTTCCGGTGCCTTATAATAAACTCGGCTACCATATAGAATTTAAAAAACATCCACGACAGAGACTTACCAGTATAAGCGCATATACCAACCATTGTCGAAGCGGGCAAGAAGACCTTCGGCTCGACAATCATCATAGCTTCCCGTACTATTTCCGCCTCCTTATTAAAAGAAGGCCCAATGGCGCATCAAGAAATAGAAAAATATACAAGAGCAGTGCACCTCCTGGCGGCCGAGGTAGCAAAGGGCGAGGCCCAAGCCCAGGAAATGAACGAAAGGCTCCACCACGTCTCCTGTGAAGAGGTTAGAAGTCGAAGGATTCCATATAAAATAGGAAGGTGACCCGTTTCGAGCTCGGTCAGGATGGTAAGGAGCGCCTCAGTGACGCAAGCATTGGCCGTACCGACGCAAATCAGGCCGAGCGCCAACGCAGAAAGCCCTGGAATTTCCATGCTACTGGTGGGTGAAAGGCCGGGGAGTAGCAACTGCACAACATCGTCCCTGTTGGATCCCGCGTAAGCGATGCCAAGTCTGCATAGAGAAGGAAGCAGTGCGCAGAAATATACTATTCTATAGAAATCAAAGAACCCGAGAATAGAGCCGATCCTCGTCTTATCGCTTTTGTGCTCAACATAGTCACTGAGAATAGCACGTGCGGGATCGCACTCGATGCGGATATTGGACGAGGTAATTCCGCAAGCCAGAAGCGCCCCCGCCTATATTCATAAGGGATAAAAAATAGTTTACAATCACTACATTAATTTTTTTTAATATACCTTAACATTGTCGTCATTGGAGTACAAAAACTTATCTATCTGTGTAAGTCCTAGTAATAGGCAGCGCGTGATTTGGTCACGTGGGAAAATATAGGACAGCCGTACCTTTTTCGACGTCCCAGAGCAAAATAAGACCGAGTGAGGCGGCGGCACTGAGCATCGCTGCAACAGTACGAAATCGATATATACCAAAAAGGAGGGAAAGAGCAAGGAATACCATCCTCCTTGTTCTTATAAAGCCACTTGACACTGTCGACAGTCATGAGCTTGTCCTGCCCGAATGCGCAATTCACAAGCGCATTCACAAACGTCGAGGCCAAGTTTTGCCTGTTGACATTCGCGCTGAGATGCGTACGGTGAGGGCAGGGTAGACGAGGACCTCGCCGAGTCGATGCTGCTTCCGAACGGGCGGGAAGTCTCCAGGTGCGTCTTGTAGATGTCTTCAGGCGTTTTGGGCTGAGAGAAGAGCAGTCAGGAAGAGAGAATGGCCGAGTGGGCACACAAAAGTAGAAAGACCTCGAGAACGTCGAGATCGCTGGCGAGGTAGAGAAAGTCTTCGCTTAAGCGCGAGTTGGTGATCACTTCATATAAGTTTTCATCTTCTTCGACACTTTCGAGGTAAATCTGCTGTCGTGCAAGTAAAAAGCACATCTGAAGCTTAATTCTGGGAAATTAATTTTATCAACTAAAAAAAAGAAAGCTGCTAGTAAGGAAGAAGGGAACGTGTATTCTTTTTCAGAATTAAACAATTCGGTACAAAGGTTGCGATCGTTAAGGCGAATGGCAATACGAAGAGCTTCGAGGCTCCGACCAAACTTTTTATAAATCTCTAAATAAAATTGAAAGTGATGCAGGAGAAACCAAATCCAAAGTAGCGAGCATACGCAAGGCTGTGTGTAACAGATTTCTGTCTTCAGGATCAGGAACGTAATTAACACAACTGTGAGAAAATATATATATAAAATATACTTTTTAAAAAAAACGGAAGAAAAATCAACCTCGTAAGATAGAGACAAACACGTGCGTGTTGATCTTCTTGAACAAATTTTTCAAGGAGTGATAGCTGTCCAAGCTCCATTAATAAGTCGCAGGCTTCCGCTTCCGCTATAAAATGACTTAAAAGTTACCGTTAAATAAAAATAAAGCAACTAACATGCCATTATGTGCCATATTATAGGGAACAATCTCTTCAGCTAAGGAAATCAGCGACTCAAGGGGAAGCTACAAGTGAATATGTATTAAAATGAGTATAAAATTGAGCAGAAATACAAACTGTGGTAGAAGTTTTATCTTCTTTATCTTTACTCAAATAAGCTTCTATAATTTCAGCTGAAAGATGCCTAAGAGAAGTTATTCTATGAAATGGTTAACTAATTAAATTTTAATAAAGGTAAACCTGACGTATTCGTGTCCCCAAAAGTCCAAAGAAGTCCCTTGAGCGCCAAGAAGTCGAAATTTTAACGTTTCAAGTTTTTTGTTATCGAAAGCCATGGCCAGCACGGAAAGTACATCGGCAAAGAGGCTCTGCGTAAAGTTACCTGAATAAGCTTAACGTTTCAGTAAGGAGTAAATACAACTTTATTTTCCTCCGAAGTTTTTTCGTATGAACTTTTCAGTATATCATAATGAGGACGTAAAAATTTCAAAGGTTGGGGGACGGAAGTCATGGAACTCGTTGAGGAACGAATAATACTACAAAGGCTTTCTAAGGCTGGCTTGTGAAGACTTACGTCAGCTTCCTTGAGCAAAAATTATATTAATATCTTCTGTAGAGTTGGCATTATTCCATTATAATTAGTAATAGTTACTTGAAGGCGTTCTACAAGAAGCTCCAAATCCTCTTTAAGTTGACGATCTTCTCCAGTCTAAGGCAAAAAAAGAAGCGACTTCAGAGACAATTTAGCTAAAAAATAATCATAAAATGAAGTTACTAATTCACTAGTTACTGGTTTGCTTTGAGAACTATCTTCACTTTTTTTCGAAGAGCCAGGAACCATTTTTTAGTTATCCTTTTTCACCTTAAGTAACTAGACAGCGCCTTAGAAGACAAGAGTTCAAGTATCAGTTTAATAAAAGGGTTATTGCACGCTCATTGCTCAGAACCCTTAATTAGTAGTAGGTATAGTTTTGTAACTCTTAAAGCTTATCTATTAATAAAAATTTTACATACAAATTTCTTTAAGAAACATACTTTTATATTAAATAACTTTAAATTTATTAAAATTTAAAATAATGTAGGAGATCATCATTTTAATAGGAAGAACTCTACTGCAATTCTTAGAATTTGCAGAAAAACGTTATCAAGGAGTATATAGTAAGATAAACTTATTACCAAGCCTGACATCACAAACTTACTTAAAAAAGACAAAATAGGGAAGCTCAGTAAAGTTAATATGTAAAAAAATCTTTTTTCACCTTAAGACTTTGATAATAAAAAGTAGTAGCAGTCTTCCAGATCTTACACATTGTTATAGTGCATGCCTGGAACCTTTTGAACCTAGAAATCAACCTTTCTTGCTCAACCATAATACAAAAGCGCTGCAGCCATCAGTTACCTAATATTACATGAACGCAGGTTCATATCAAGAAAAATCTGTCAACTGCTTCAAATTAAGCAATATTGATAGGGAAAGTTAGTTAAAGTTTAGCTCTAAATTGTCTGGAAAAAGTCAGGTTCAATGCTTCATAGGCCTATTGAATAATCAACTAAACAGAAAGCTTACACAAATTTAATCGAAAATTAAGTGTGTTTGATGTTTAATCCCTCTTATTATTACTAACAGAATAATTTTGCTATAATAGTTTTTTACTACGACAATAAGCTATTGCTAATTCCCCAACGAGCTATGCAAATTCAGCTTGGTCCTATTTCTATACTTCACATATTAACCGAGAGCGTTTTCACTTCTCACACCAACCTGAATGCGCCCTACATTATTTAAAAGGTTAAACTGAGCTACTAGTGTCAACACACAGTTCTGGTTGATGAGTACGTTTAAAACACTATAACCCCATTTCAACGGCGGCCTAAGATATTTAGGGTAACTACAATTTCATAATTAATATAGCTCCTTTCTATATATGTTTTAAAATTAAGGACTACATTAGCACCGAACCTATCAATCACTAATTTTGTTTCGCAATAATAGCTTTAATAATCGGTTTGTTGCATTGTATTTTTTAAAGTTTCTTGGAAGGTTTAATAATGTCAAAAGTGGGATGCCTCATGCATAAGGCTTTTTTTGACGTGAGGGTAAACTTTTTCTACCACAATTAAACGAATTTCTCTGCTATTCTACAAGGGCCCTAATAAGATCAGTCCGGAGGAGCTTCTATATTTGCCAGTGGTTAACAAATAGCATTTCTTTTGCAACAACTTATTTTGGATTCTCGCCATATATATATAAAGTTATTACAAATGCATAAATTTACGTGCAACCAAGAGTATGAGAATGATTATAAAGACGACATGCGCGTTTTGAGAGAGATCTAATAAAATGACCTAAGATGCAATTACATCGCGTGATAATTTTAATGATTATACACAAAAATACACCCTCTAGTTAAATTTTTCTTTATAAGCATTGAGCACACACCCCAATTTAAAAAATTTAAAAAAAGGCACATATAACCGTAACAGGTGGGAGGCATTTGTAGACATTCATGTCCAAACCCCTTTTGATAAAGGGGAACACTCAATAAGGGTTTACAAGTTTATTAAACAAAGCGAATTATACTAATTAATAAAAAATTTTATTTTTAATAGTTAGCAACCCTCCTTGCATTATTATTTGCTTATTTGTTCAATTGTTTATAATAATAGTACATAGTAATTACGCCATGACGTGAGGGGAATTATTTTATACGGATTTGAGCAAAAGAAATTTTGGATGCACAGCGAAAAAATTAGACACAGAACAGTTAACTTCAAAACAACATGGCTCTTTACCTTTATGTTTATTGGTTTTATCAACTTGCTTTCTCCAGCCCTGTAGGCGCCATATTAACCGAAAGAACTACGTGTAGTGAAGCACGTATAGCACAATTAACTTTATTATTTATTGTTTATTATTAATACCAATCTCATGTTTCAATAAAGTTCTGGATTCTTAGAACCCTCAATGAGAGTCTCTACAAGCTCGCGAGTGTCGATATTGCTTAAAAAAAGCATCGCTCGGTAGCGGTTACACAGCGATTGGTTGGTATACATGAAAATACACCGAATAGTTGATTAGCCAACATTATTATTTTTTTGTTTATTGTTACTATTATTATTTATTATTTGTTATTCTTATTATTATTAATATCATTGATATCATATTACAAACTCTATATTATAAATATTTTTAAATTAACATATAAATTGGTATCGTTTTTTATTATTATTCACTTTATATAATAAAAATAGAAATGAACATAATATAAATAATAAACTGCAAAAAAAGTTCAAAGTAACCAAAAATCTAATCATTTTATACTTATATTTTATGTAGTATTATCATAATATTTATTATTACCTTTCATATTTAATATCATCAATATTCTCATAAAATAAAAATCTTTAAGAAAATTTATAAAAAATAATTAACCATGATCTTCTCCAAAGGCACTCACGCTTTACTTTTCTTGGTCGCTTTAAGAATCAGTAATCCATTTTAAATGATCTAAAAAGATTTTTATATTAAAAAAAATTTAAAAAAAATAAATTAATCAAATAAATAAACAAAAAATTAAAGAATTAGAATTATATTATTATATAAAGTAAAAATAAATTAAAATTAAATAATAAATATGTAAAAAAAATACAAAATTTTAATAGTTTAGACTAAATTTCAAAAAAATGCTTTACTATAAGCTAAAAATTTAGATTGTATAAATTCCATACTGACTGCGATCTTGCAAATTTCTATTAATTCCACGCATTGCTTCTCTTATGTTTACTTAAATACTATAATTTTGGATAGCGAAATGCAGCGACGCCTCTGCTACCTTTCAGTAATAAAATTTATTAAAAAAAGAAAAACTTCAGTAAATCTCTAAAAGATTTATAAAGATCTTAAAAGTAATTAATTTCAGTAAATCTCTACAAGATTTAATTAAAACCTTAAAGTTTTCTTTAAAAAAACTAATTAATAAATCTAAAGATTTATTTAGTTTTCAAAATTTTAATGTAAAAAATTAGTCAATCTCTAAAAACATTTGATATATAAACAGTTTTAATAAAAGGTAAGTTAATCTCTATAAAATAATTATATATTTCCCGTCTAAAAAAAGTCTCTTAATTAGTGCCTTTAAATTTTTTATTAAAAAATTAAACCTCATAATATTTAGTACAATCTTAATTATTAAATTGCAATCTATTGAGAATTATATTTGTTAAACAAAATTACTAAATTTAATAAATTAATTGAAAACTTATAAACAATGAAATAATTAAAATCTTACAAACCTATTAAAAAAGTAAATTTCTAAGAGTTATTATCTACTTCACGTTTAACAACAGTTTCTCAATTAATGCATAATTGTTTTTGTTAAACAAATTCAAAGATATAAAATCTATAAAAAAAACAAAAAGAAAAAGGATGAATTTCTGAAAAATTAAAAAAAATAGTAATTAGCTAAAATTTGTATGTAATTTAAATTCAATTAAAAGATTTTTAATATTTTATAAAAGTAACTAGCTTAATCTTTATAGCTTTAATTAAAATCTTTAAAAAAGTTTGAAAAAAAAAAATTCTAAAAATTTTAGGTAAAATTTGTCTAACAACAGTATTTTGAGAATTTTTAAAAGTTTAAATAAAACTTTAATAACTCATTAAAAAAAATTAAAACCTTTAAATTTAAATAATAACTGTAAAACTAAAAATAAATACCCTAAAAATTCAAATAGAATCCTCCCTGTCTACCTTGTTTATTGATTCTTCTGTCCTAAATCTGTATTAAAATTTTTTTTCACTGGCCTAGAAATTTACTGCCTTAAGAATATATAACCTCAAATGGTTAATAGGATATGTCAACTTTTATATAACTTTTTACCAAAACAAAATACGGTTATTTGCAACTGCATCGTACATCTGTTAAATAACTATTTAAAGCGTTGAGGCTCAAAAGTTATAGCCGTAAACTTTGTAAACAGTTGTTAATAAATTTTAATTTTTTTAAGTGAAACTTAGAAATTAGGTAAATAGTTTCCTTAATGAATTAGGTGTACTGCACTTTTCGAAACAATTATTGTACACTATAAGCTACACTTATCACTTACAGTTTTACTTAAACCCCTTTTAAGGTATAGTTTAAGCCTTCATTAACTGTTTAAAGTAAACCTTTAACTATTTTGTGTTTATTAGCCTTTTTAAAAAACCAACGACCAAGTTTGAAACCGAGTTTCTCTAGGCCGTTACGTATTACATTTTTATTTCTATATACTATTCATAAAATTAGAATATAACAGGCTATACAGAAGCCTTATTTTCCATAGGGCTGTTAGTATACAAATAATACTCTATATCAAGAAATATTAAATTTTCGGAAGTTATACTGCGTGATCAAAAACTTTTTATTCTGATTACACCTGCTAAATATAGATTCACTAGGCAAAACTAATTAAAGACAGGTCATCTAAAAAACCGATAATATAAGAGACTCAACTAGATTTAATAGCCGATAAAAGTAAAATAAAGTCGAGTAGTAAAAAATAATTAAAACAATGTGACTTTGTGGCGTGTAATAAAGATTACTATATAATTTCTACTCTACCAATAGAAAATTTAAAAAATAAAAAATGCTTCAAGTATATAAAACGGTTCACTTGTTGCAAATTCATTCTTACTAAAATTTTAAAATTGGGCTTATATATAAAATATATAAATAACTTGGATTATTTTAAGAGAGGAGGTAATATTAACTCTAAGTAAAATAGATACAGGATCTGACCCTAAAAATTAGAGTTAAGCATACAAAGATTGTTTTACCCTCACGGTTTAACTCAAACCCAGGCCAAAAGTTAAAAAATCAACTTTAAGAAAAAAAGACGAAAGTTAATATAGGGTCTCCTACAAAAATATACTTTTTAATTTTCGAACAACCTTCTTTAAACTGCCACAATTTATAAATCTAAAAAATTTTCTTAAGAATCTAAGGGGGCCTACGACGATGTCTAACAAAAAATTTAATTTTTTCTCCCTGAGGTAAAAAAGCTAAGACTTCAGTATTTCTTGACTCTTTTTATATAGATTGACTAAGTTGATAAAAGGACTCCTTTCAAGAGTTATTTCCATTAGCTTACAATAGTCAATACTCTCTGCTACTGTCCTGACCTGTTTATGAAAGGTAATATAATTAAAAACTATCTTACTAAGACAAAAAAGTCTGAAAGAGGTTGTCCAATTTTTTTAAGAGGATCTAAAACATTTAAAATAACTTGATTGTCATCTTCGGCTTTCTGTATTAAAATTTAGAAAATCTTCACCTAAAGCAATCCTTCATGATCTTCTAATCCAGTCGCAATACAAAGGCATATGGTCGTCCCGCCGCATTCAAAACTTCTAAGGAACCGCAGTGCCAGGTTTCCTCTAAGTATCAATGGGCGATTTCAACTACTGCTATAATGGGTTAATGCCCCAACGCATATTTGCTTGGGAAAAGTTAAGGTTTTTACAGACTCTGAGCCCTTACTTTTGTAAAAAAACCCTGCAATATATTTGGTCGAGCTGTAAATTAATTTTTACAAGTTCAATATAAGCGTGGGTGACACTGCCCATCAAGTAAGTTTTCTGATCTAAAAGAAAAACTGTGGGATCAAGAAAGTTTTATGCGTATAATATATCCTTTTCCTTTGAATTAAGAGCAGCGCTGACTATTTAGCGTCTTGACTGAGTCAATGTAACGCCCAAAAAACTTGAATGCAATGTTTCCTTGTGCAACCGGCTTGGAACGAAAACTTTATCAGGGTGTAAACACATTCGCTTAATAGGTGTTAAACCTTTTGTTTGTTAACCTGATTGTTTGAGGGCCTTTAAACCTTTAATAGTGTTGTCAAAAATATAATTGCTTAATTTAATTAGCTGAAGGTATGCTAGACTCTATAAACCGACTAACGGCGTTTACTAAGAGGAACAAGAAAAAATAGGAGAGCAACTTTACTGTATTAAAATGTGGAATTTACATACATGCACATGGTGATCATTACCTTAATAAAAACGCACTATGTTAAAATGCATTAATTAATAAGCAATTAAAGATACAAATATGTTAACTGCGTGATTTATTTTTAACGTGTACTAGAACGTTTTGAATTCTTTGCGACCTTCTCATTATTAAGCTTCTTTAGTACATTCTCTGGGCCCGTAAGAAGTTCAAAGCTATATTGTGCAGTAAGTTAATCCTCAGGGTTAACTTTGATATTAAAAAAATAAAGTTAACATAAACTTACGATAAAATCAATTCATTTGGCTTACTAGCTAAAGTAGTCCACTTTGTTTAACTTTAAGGTAATTAAGTGGCATCCTGGCATCCTACTTTTTACAAAGATGTATGTTGAAATTAGTCGCAACTCCAAAAGGAGTTGAAGTGGCAATTAATTTTAATAGATTTAGAGTCCAATGCTCTGTGAAAACACAAGTTCGATTCCCAGAGGCAGGCAAGCTCATAAATCAAGATCTAGAGGGCCTTAGGAAAGAGATGGTATCTTGTACCTCTGAGCTCGTTTAGGCCCCAAGTCCAAGTAGAAACTAGGATCTAGGGGATCTCAGCGAAAGGTAAGGGGCCCGACCCTTGGACTATCCTAGTTTAGAAACTTAAGGGTTTTGAACAACTTACCCGTCATTGGGTGTGAGGGGGGTATCTAACTTAAGTATCCTTCTAACGGGTTTTTCAATTGGGGCGCCTTCATTTGGTCTTGCGCTGAATTTCGACAATAAACAACTATTTAAACATAAAGCTGGATGTAACTCAATAACCATTCGCTTTAATAAAATTTTAAACTATGAAAAGGTCTAGTATATAAATAACGAAATTCGAGGAAGATGACAACTCCAAAATCGAAACGCACAAAGTCAAAAAGCTGTTAATTTTATTTTTTATAGAAGTTCATAGCATTATCTTCTTTACAAGTTTAATACAGTTATGTTTTTTAAGGCTCACTCTGTAATCCTTCAAAGATCCTTTAAAAAGGATGTTAACCAGGGTGCACCTCCCAAGGATAGCAGTTGGGGCTGGATCTAACAGCACGCATCGCTCAGGCGTATGTAAAGGGTTTAATATAGTTGCTTTTTGGAAAAATGATATACTGATAGACATGGAGATAAGAATACGTTGCATACTCAAAATTTTTGTTTGTTTCAGGCCCAAGTTTATAACTTAAACCGATTAACTACTAAAATAAACTGAGTAGATATTGGAATGTAGTAAAGTATAAAGGTAGTATGGTGTGTGTAAAAAAGTAAACTATTATTTGTTGCTCTATAATTATAGTCGAAATTTTTTTTATATAGACATTAAAAATATAAGCATATTAATAAAGGTTATTTAGACTTAAAACCTAGTGCGAACACAGAAAAAATCTATCGTTACTGTGCTGAAACCAACCTTCGCTAGGTGACAGTATAACCATGCAATCTTTTTGTAAGCCTAATATTCTAAATTCAAGATTTAAGCAACTGAACTCTTACAAAAAAAGTAATATATTATAGGTAGTTGTCATACTAATGTTTCTAATAAAATTTATGCTTTCTAAATATTTGTAAAAAGTTTAACTTTCTATATTTATAACTTTATAAAAAAATTTTTTTACAAATAATATGCCTCTTAGTAAAGATTTGCGCGATAAATATTCAAACCATTATGCTTTCTAAAAATAGTAAAAATCAGTGCTCGTAGTTAATAAAAATACAGTTAATTGTAATTGGTTTGTGATGACTTTGAAAGTTTTTTTTTAATACCAATAGTAAGCCGTTAATAATACAGTCCACAAGGTAAAATAACCGCTTCAAAAAAAGGCAAAAAACTCCAATTTTTAAGATTTGGTTAATAATTAAAAAATTAGGAGGGTGGGTTAATAAAAAAGTAGTTTTACCCAATCAGAGTACTGAAATTTAACGCAAATTCTAAAAAGTATGGTAAACAAAAATTACAGAGCTGGTTACAAACAGTATAAACGTCGCTGCTTCAAAACTGTTCATGTATCTCTTCCTGTTTTTTTTTTTTGGAGCTTGTAGTGATTCCCCCTAATTATTTTTGGGAGTAATGCGATTTTCAGACATATGCGATTTACCTTATAAAGACCCAAGCTATTTGGTTCCTTAACGGATTTTGGTAAAGTTCTAATTAATCAATAAAATTACTTGTCTTATTTTTAAAATTAGGTCTGATAAAATAGTTCAAACCTCTTGCAACCAAATATATGATTATTACGAGGATTTTTTGGCTTATGATACAAATAATAATGGTAAAAAGTTGGACGAATTTAATTCGCACCGCTTGTTAGAAAAGTATGATGAAGCTTTAACTGTTGTTGAGTTGAGAGAAACTTTAGAAACTAAAGACAACGGTGTAATATCGTTATCACTAATAGAGGTACTAATTTGTTAGTGGTTATTTTAAGGTTTATAATATCTATTTTATGCGTTATCGTGAAGGCCTTAGGGTGGTGAATATTTCTTATAAATTATCTTTTAGAGAATTATTATATCTTAGTTTATTATATATAGTTTTTACCTTATAATATTTGGTATTTACTTTTATTTCGTAGCCTTCCATTATATTATATTGTGCTTATTAACATTAACTTTACAAAATTACTTTTTTTGTTTTGCTAACCGAAATATTTTAAACTACGTCATATATTTAGTTTTTAGCTTGGAAATTTAAAAAGTCCACGAATGAAGTATGCCGAGCTCCTCAGGGAAACGCCCCTAAAGAAGAATTGGAAAAAGCAGAACAGAAGTTACAGGAGGTGCAAACTGCGTTAGAGCAAGTAATTCAGGTGGCTAGAGAGCTTGAGGAAGCAGTAAAAGACTGTAAAAGAATTGAAGAAGAGCGAGAGGTTACAAGTATTTCTTAGTCAGTTTTTACAAAATCTGAGTTCAATTAAATAGAGGCAAACAAAAATTTTGGAATCTACAGCTAATGATGAATCTAAGTCGACTGTTCAGCGAAGTAAAGCCTCTAACGAGCTGGCTCAACTGAATTCAAAAGACTATTTACCTCTGAAAAAGGCTAAAATTACTCAGGAAGCTGCCTTGCGTAAAACCGTATCATCACAAGGCGTCTTAGAAAGAAAGTTAGAGGATGCAAAGGAAGAGCTTGAAGCTGTCAGACAGAAGGGCGGAGTGGGCAATGGCAGGTGCATACGCTCAAAATTTTTTTAGCTTCGTTAATTTTGTAAAGTTATTGTAGAATCAGAAGAAATTTACTTTTTTGGTTTATTATTGATTTATAACTTTATGTAATAATTTTATTTGCTGTAGTCTGTATTTCTTGGAGAGAAATCTTTATGAGGCTGACAAACGACTACCCACCAAGAAACAGAAATATGACCATCAGAAACCGTTTTCTTTCGTGGCAGCTTGTTGAATTATTTGGTTGATTAACCGCTTTTATTTTTCCTCACTTTTAATAAAGGTTTCATTAAAAGTTATATTACTATCACTGTTATAATGGTTTTTATTTTGGAAGTCGATGAACACAGTACTTGTTTATAAAAATTAGTAGAGTACTAGATTAGTAGTGTAGTGATGGCACTGTATGAATGTTGTTGGTTACTAGGATATATAGATGTGAGGCGCACCTCCCTCAAAATAGACTTGTTAATAGCCTTTATTAGAAGAATCTATTTAGTGCTCAGCATTACAAGTTTTATTTAGCAGTCCATAAATTAATATGGGGGTTTCTACACGTGCGGGGGTTCTAATGACTTCAAGCCATTTAAAATAGCTTTATTGAACAGTATAAGGTAGTACTACTGCAACTTGTCAAGCGCTATGATATTAACCCCTTAATAGGGCAGTGTTTTTTTTAAGTAGAAAACATTTTCAAAGAAGAATTCTTGACAGCTCAGCCTGTTAACAGTGAAAATTTTAAGCAAAGAGGTTTAAAAAAAAGTTTAAAAATGAAAAGACATAAGAGTTGTCTTCGTTGCTCAGTAATTAACGTAGTTAGCTTGCTAGACTCTTATCTCTGATTACACGCCTACCTTTCTTTCTTCACAGCTTTACAGGCCAGCATTATCGCGTTAATGTATCGGTGTATATTAACAGCAAATTCAACTGCTTCGTGTTTAAGGTCATCTGGGTTAGAATTAAGTTTTTGCTTCAGTTTTCGTATAGCTAACAAAATTATGTATAAAGTTTTAGGGCTAAAGTATTATTTCACTCAGTATTAAACTTTATAATATAACCCAGTTCACTTCTACAATTTTAAAATAAAGAAGTTTACTATAACTTTTCAAGTTAACTCTGAAAGTCAAATAATTATTAAGTTGACACATCTTGGACGTTAAAGTTAATAAATGACTACTTACACTAATCATCCTGTAAACATTTCCCTCACTCCACTCTACTCACTTTTTTTTTCATTTCTGGAGAGTGTGGCATATATAGTAAGATTTTTATTTAGTTTTTCGTTTATATCTTAAAAGATTGTATAAAAAGTTACTTTACTATGAATAATTTTTAGTTAACTTTCGGTTATTCAGTTTTTATATGCTAGTAGTTGAAGTCAGGCATTCCTGGTTACTTTTCAACGCTGCTTGGATTTTACCTTCATCAGATGTGGGCGGTTCCGTACGGTAGCAAATAGTTAATATTTATAACTATTAGTAAATTAGGGACCACATAACATAGCGCTCTAACTAGAGAAAATTCTGTGTAACCATATTTGAATTATAAATATTTTAAGGGCTATAAATAACTTATGCGTAAATGCCTATGATCAGACTAATTTATAAACTGATTGACCCAAATTTTTAATCGTAAGCGCTTTTACTGCGCCCCACTTCACCTGCTTAGACGGACTCTGCCCTGCAAATACAGCAAAACAAACTACTAAGACCGCTGCCTGGGGCCTCAGAGTTTGTGAGCAACGAGCTCTGCATAACAACCAACATACTCTCTGCAACTAAAATTTGATAAAACACAAACCGTACCAAAACACTTTAATTGAAACGAAATAATACACGCTACGCAATCGCATTGAATTTAAGTCCCTTTTATATTTCTATTACTTTAATACTAAAACTGTCTCCTATCAGTCTTAACGTTAAACAAGCAACGCTTACATTTTTTATCCGTAATGCAAGAGAAGAGAATATTTGGTTCATTATGTTTCTTTACATTCAAACAAACTAAAAGCGTTTTAATGGCGTAAAATGCAAGATTAATAAGGCCTCTAAACTGGTCTCAACTTATTTTTAATAACATTGTTTTAACGCTTAATAATAATAAAAAAGAATATTAAAGTGCATTAAAGACATTTTATTTTCTTATAATAGGCACGCCTTTTAAAAAGCCTATAGTAAACTATATAATAGATTGTGTAACTAAAACTCGTTGCACACTTGGTTTTTATACCTTCTTTATTATTTTGTTTAATTAAAGAAGTTTAATAAGCAGCTGCAAAGTTGTTAAGTTTTTTTTAACGAAAAAAAACTTGCATTGCTTATTTTGTAAATTTATAGATTTACATTACTTTTAATTTTTTATATTATATATAAATTTGTTAGTAATTTGTGTTTTACAACTTGATAAAGAATTTGTAAGACTCATTCATAGTGCGGTGGATATACTTTTATTCTATTATTTATACTAAAACTTGTAATTTTTCATATTTTTCCCCTACGAGCTCTAATGCTTTTTAACTGTTTGTAGCTATAAACTTGTAATGCTTTCAAACATGAAAAAAGAAATTTAAAGGCTGCGCTGGTTTAGACAAACTGAGCTTACCTTGTCTCACTACTTTTAGAGTGGTGTACAAAGTAAATTTTTAAAATTACTAGCACGAAATTATAATAAAAGTATTTTTCAAAAAACTACTTAGACGGCGTTAATAGAGACAGGCAACTCGATTACTATTAAACAGGACTAATAGCTACAACAAAATCAATCTTATTAAAAGAATTAAAATGAATATGGTCATCAAAAAGGGAACAAAACTGTTACTGTTTTAAAACTTTCAATTGGTTTTTAGTTACTAACTGGTTAATTTAATATAGGACACACCAGTTAATCTGTATTATAGAAAAAAATTTTACGCATTAAGTACATTTTATAGTTATGAAGAGGTAAAATAATAAGTATACAGAAGGTTCAGGAAATATTAATATTCATACTTTGAGACACGTAGGACCATCTATTAAAAAAGTCTTCCGTTAATCTTGTATAGGGAAATCAGCGAGACTAACTGGTTAAAAATTAGTCTAAATTCGAGGTCGTTCAGGCGGGATCTTAGTGAAGGTTTTTTTGAAACGTTTTAATTAACATTCGTTCCTAAACAAAAGATAAAGAAATTTTTGAGTACGATATAGTAAAGGTCCCTCCTCTTCTTCCTTCCTCGGTAAATTATATTAATGTGGTATAAGCAGCTTATACGTCACTTAGTTAATGAATATCGCACTATCAGTCTTTTGTCTTGCTTAAGGAAAGTAGCAGTATTGCTTGTCCTTAAAAAACTAGAGAAAATTCTTTTTAAAGAAAAAGTATTCAATATTTGTTTCAACTTTAGCCGAAAACACTCTACAAGCCCGCCACACTCAAACTTTTTAAGCTCGTCACTAAAGCTTTTTTTTTTAACGATAGTTGCCAACAATAGGAGTAAATCGGAATTGAAAAGGTGTTTAATAAGGCATGTCAGTACTGGTTATATTACAAGATAGTTTAAATGAACATTTCTATCTTGCTGATAAAGCTTTTGTACTCGTTTCTCCTCTTTTGAAGCGTAACCAAAAAGGCGAGGTAAAGTTAATTGTTTTTTTAAAAAAAATAGTTATTTTCTGGGGCCCCTCAAAGAACTTCGCTATCGCCTTTTCTATTAGAAAAGTGTACCTGCTTACTTTTAAGGAGAAAAAATTTTATTGCTTATGCGATGCCTTTGCCTTTTACTGTAATTCCAAGTCCCAATCTTTAGCCGCCCAGCGGATTCAAGAACATCTATAACCACCTTTGAAGCTTAAAAATGAAAAATGAAAAATTAAAACTGAGTGTAGGGCCACTAAAAAAGCGGACCCTACTTAAGTAAAAGGAGACGGGGCCTACCTAAAATGGCCATTATTAAGACAGATTCTTTTCTAATACCTGATGTTATTATAGATCAAATCTTAATTGAAAAGCTCATGAAATTTTTATATCATGAACGCCAAGGTGCTAGGGCAAATTGGTATCATTTTCTCTGCCGCTCTAGGGAACTATCGCTGCGTAACAAATTTCTCCTCTGTGTATAACGATCGATATTGCTCTATACGTCAACCGACCAGGCTTATTATCACAGAAAAAATAAAAAATAAATATTTTTTTCTCTCCAAAAGGTGCTTGCTATTGATGGCTAACACTTATTAGTTTTTAATAATAGTCAGATTCCATAACTGTCTGCTGGGTACTATGGACGTCCTTCTAATAAGTCGCTCACAGCAGGTGCCTATTATATCGGTAGAAATCTGCCAAAAGTGTACGTAAAAGTGTTAGAAGGTCAGTTTGGTTTAAACTAGATGCCCCAAAAGTGAACTGCTTTAATATTTTAAAAGATGACTTCGCGAATTTTTTTTGTTTTTTATGTAGGAAAATAACCCATCTTGCAATATATGTAAGGAAGATGAGGTAAGCAGTTATAATTTTTGTGTCCTTTCCAGTAGAATGTCAACTTTACGAATAAGTAAAAATGGTGGTTTATTTCGCATAAATTAACCTTTATTGGGCTAGCGATGGAGAACTTATACTAAACTGCACCGATTTCTCTTTAAGTCTTATGTAAGACTGAAGGCGATAAGGACTAACGTGCTATTAGTTCTTCCCCCTGCCTCTACATTTTCAACTTTTTTCGTAGAACCACTAAGGCAATTCAGGGTTTTCGGTTATTAATAAATCAACTTATTCTTACTTTTTTATTACCACTACCGACGAAAGCTTTAAGTCAACCGAGAAAGCTATTAACCAAAAACCACTGTTTTGGCTATTTTCTGAGCATATAAAACATGTTATTTGCGTTGCTTTTCAGTTTTTCAATATTATTTGGTGCTATAAAACAAGCAGCACTTCAATATAAACTCCAATACATTTGGAATAATAAATTAACTCTTCTTCTCTATTCTCATAGTCTCGTCCGCTCATAGTCTCGTCCGTCTCTTTTGTATATATTTTAGAATTTTTATATCGTGTATATATATACTTTTGCTTACATAAAGATTAGTTGTTATTGTAAAAACATAAACAATATATGTTATAATGTAACTATTTAACGTTTCTCACTAAACGTGTTTAAATACTACAAAAAAAATTTTAAAACCCTCTGGTTTAAAAAATAATTCTTTCACAAAATAGTTAACGACGTTCTGCTTGTGACATAAACAAGTTATTTCTTTTTAAATAGGAAAGTCGCAGTTAATATTTAGTAAACAAAAAAATAATATGCAGGGAAAATGAAAAGGTAATTACTAGTTTGTTTTCTTTGTATAATAATGGTACTGGCGTTCTTGCTGAACTAATTTTATACGAGTTTCACAACGGTAAGGTGTAGTTTCTCTATAGTGCACATGTTAACATGTTTTACTTTATTATCACTAAATTTAAAATTAAAAAAAAGTTTTTGTTTGTGTAGAGAATGTGATGAGAGTGTATAAAAAGAAAAAAAATAAAGATTTTTAAGACTTGTTTTACTTTATTGCTAATAAATATAATATTTAAAATAAAATTATTGTTTATCTAGAAAATATGGTAGACAGTTTGTACAAAGAAAATAAATTTTTAAGAAGAGTTAATCCTGACGATCGATTTGAATATATATCTCAAAAAATCGGAGAGGGTTTACAAATATTTATATAAAAATTAGAAAATCAAAAATTATGTATATATTAATTTTATTATTACTGATGATTTTAGATTGTTATCATTATAATTACAAATAATTAAGTGTATATTATATAATAGGGACTTATGGTGTTGTTTATAAGGCGAGATCAAGAGATCCACTTGACAAAAAAGATTACGCTTTAAAAAAGATTAAAGGCATCTGGACGGAAGGACTTTCAATATCGACCTGCAGAGAAGTCTCGGTAGTTGCATATATTTTTATTATACTATTATAAATACTTTCTTTTTCATTATTTTTTGAATTCTTGTTTAACAATTTGAATAATTCAATATAGATAAAATTTTATTAGTTAGCTTCGGCTAAATTTTCTTGTTATATAAAAATTTCGTGAACTTATTTTTTACACTAAATAATATATTTTGAACTAGAAAACATTGCTTTTTTTATTTTTTTAAGTTAGCAACAGCTTAAATTTTTTTTGTCATTTTTTTATATTGTAATTAATTCAAATTTTATAGCTACAGATTTATAAAGTATTTTGGCTTGTGGTATTTTTCAGCTTTATCGTGTTGGCTTTCACTTTTAAAAGTTGTTATGCTAATAATATTTTTTATAATTAAAATAATATTATAATTATTTTGTAATTTTGTATAAATTTTATATAAAATTCTTGCTAATTTCTGTCAGTGACTACTTTACTGTATTATTAATTATAAATATATTTATTGTTGATAAGGTTCAAAAAGTCACTTGAACAATTGGCTCTTGATTTTTACTTTAATCCTATTTATTTATATATTTGTATTTCCCAATGTTCAGAAATTTAATTTTATATAACTTTTTACTTTTTATTTACTTTTATATATTTTTTCAATACTAATTTTTTTTTATTACTAATTTAATTTAGAAACAATTTCAAAATAAATTGAAAAGTGCGTTTTTTTTAAATTTATCTTCTGAAGATTAATTTTTAAGTATATTCAATAAATTTAAATTGAAGTTCTTTACTTTTTATCTTCCCTTATTTTTATATAATTTAAGCAATTTTTAAAAATTAAAAACTAACACAAAAATGTTATATATCTTACATTTTGTTTTTTTAATAATTAATTATATAAAGATTATAACTTTGTATAAGTTTTATTAAAGATTTTTCAATTGGATATTTTACTTATTTATTTCTAATTAAGTTTTTTGAAATGCATAGCTTTTTCACTATTTTGTTTCGTTTTTATATTATATTTTCATAAAATATAAAAAAATTTACAAATTTAATTTAGAAACAGAATTATTAGATTTTTTAATTCGTGTTTGAGTTTATTTTTTTATTATAAATTTATTAAAGTTTTAAATTTAACTTTTACACATTTTTAAAGATTTTACAAGAATTATGGCACGAGAATATTATTCACGTTGAGGAAATCTTTCTGAATCCACTTAGCAAGGAAGTTTGGCTCCTTTTTGAATATGCTGAATACGATTTATACGTACTTTTTAGTTGTTTTAGTATATTTTAAGAAATTAAATTATTTTTGTAAATAATTTGTTTAAGGTTATAAAAAAATTTGCTGTTACTTATAGGATTAAGTAATTTACTTTAAAAGTTTTATAATTTGCGCAATTTTATAAAAAATGTTTTTTCTTCTGAATTTTTACTTTTATTTTAATTTAAATTTGTTACGAGAATATTTTTTTTATAAATTTATTATTAAAAGATTTTTAATTTATAAATCTTGAAAGTTTTGTAACTTACGCAATTGTTTAGAAAAATTAGTTTTTACTCTTAAATAATTTTTACATTTTCCATTTATTTTTGTTATAAAAAATTTTGTTTCAAGATTATTTTTTTAAGTAATTTTTAATTGAGGTTAATTTAATTACTTTTGCATATCTATTAAAAAAAGCTTATTTCCTGGTTAATAATTAATACTTTTTACTTTTATTTTTGTTTTAAAAATTTGTTACGTGATTATTTTTTTTGTAAAATTAATTTAATTACTTTTAAAAGTTTTATGACAAACGCAATCGAATATAAAAAATTACTATAAAGAAAATTTTTATTTTTTTCTTTTAATTTTATTTTAAAAAAAGTTGTTTTGACTTTAATTAATAATATAAAATTAAATTAATTACTTTCATAAGTTTTATAAATAACGCAATCGAATAAAAAAAATTTACTTCTCAATCTTTTTAATTTCCTTTTATTTTTTTATAATACAACTTAAGTATAATATTTTATATATAGAAAAAGTTTAAATTAATTTTTATTTATAACAAATATTAAATTATAAATTTCTTATAATTTACTGATTTTATTAGTATTTTCTATATTTTTAAACTTTTCGTGTATAAATTTTTTAATTAATTTTCAAAGGTTTACAATATATTTATTTTATTCCGCAAATTCTACATCAGCACTTTTTTTAATTATATAAAAACTTTTTTATATACAGATTAATTTTTTTCAAAGTTTATAATATTTATTTTGTTAAGAATTTTTTATCGATTTACTTTTTATATAAATTATTTTTTTAATATTTTATATATTTTTTTTTATAAGTTTATAATAAATTTATTATTTTAGCAAATTCTCCATCAGCATCGCGTCTATAATCAAAAGCTGCCGCCTTTCAGGCAACTTTTTCTAAGCGAAGTTATGATCTTTTCGTTGCTTTTTCAAATTCTTTCGGGGCTTGAATATCTTCATAATAATTGGATTCTCCATCGCGATCTCGTATTTATTTTTATATTATTATTAAAATAAAAAATTTTTCATAATTTTCATATAAAATTTAATTTTTTATTTAGAAACTTTTTAATATTTTCAAATATATATTGATCTTTATTATTTTTAAAAACTTTTTTATATATTTTTATTCTAAATTTTTGTAATTTTCATAAAATTTTTAATTTTTTTTATTTTTAAACTTTTTAATGTTCATATTAATCTTTATTGTTTTTACTCTCATATATATTTTCTATTAGAAGTGTATCATGATTTTTAAGAAAACTTTTTTTAATTTCCATATTATTCTTAATTATTTTTTTTAAACTATTATACTTTTTTATTGAAAGTTTTTTGATAATATATTTTTTATATATATATTTTTTTTATATTTTCTTTTTAAAATCTTTCATAATTTTTATTATAACTTTTTTATTTTAATTTTTTATTATTAATATTAAAAACAAATTTTATTTTTATTTGTTAACTTTTGTATTTTTCATATTAATCTTTATTACTTTTTTTAAATTCATATTTTTTTTTGTAACTTTTTATATTTTATAATAATTTCTTTATTGTTTATTTCTCATTTGGTAAGAAAATTTGTTTTTCATTTTATAAATCATATTGTTAAATAATATTCATTTAATTTTTTATTTTTTTTGTTTGTTTAATTTTTTTATTTTTTTATTTTAAATTGTTTTAAAAATTCTAATTAAATTTTTGTTATTCTAAACTTTTTTAATGTTTATTATAATAATTTTATTGTTTACTTCAAATTTTTTTTTACATCTTTTTTTTATATTTTTAAATATAATTCCCTAAAAATATTAATAATAATTTTTTTAATTTAATTTTTATCTTTTTTTTAAATATTTTTTCAAAAATAATTTTTGATAGTATTTTTTAGAACTTTTTTTATACTTTTATTGTTACATAAAATTTTTTATAATATATAATTTTTATTTGTTTATGATTTCTTTTTTTTTTTTTATATTTGATTAAAGTTTTTCTTTATAGGAATTTTTATAGTTTATTAATATTTGTTTCTAAAAACTTTTACTCCTATTAAAAAGTTTTTTTATAATTTTATATTTTTTGGTAAAATTTAAAAAAAATTTTCATATCAAATTTAATTATTTATATTAAACTTTTTTATTTTTTTATTTTTTAATTTTTTGTTATATTTGTTTTGTTTTTTATAGAAAAATTATATTTATTTTAAAAAATTTTAAATTTCTTTTTTTATTTAAGTTTTTTTTTATAATATATTGGTTTTCTAATAAAAATTTAGATATATATTATTATTTATATATTTTTGATAAAATTTTTTTTTAAAATATTTATATTATTTGTTTCCAAAAACTTTTTATTTTTTTTTTTATATTAATTTTTTTGATGTTTATTATATTATTTAATAACGTTTTAATTTATTTTATTTAATAGTTTTTTTTAATTTTCGTATTAATTTTTTTTTAAAAACTTTTTTCATGTAGTCACTTTCTTCTAATAATTTTTATAGTATATAAATATATAGAAGTTTTCAATTTTTTTTGTATAATTATTTGTTTCTAAAAAAATTTTTATTTTATTTTTAATAAAAAGAATTTTATAATTAATTCATTCTATTTATTAATGTTATCTTTAAAAATATTATTTTTATAAATATTATTTTTAAAATTTTTATATTATTTATATGTTTTCTGTAATAATCTTTATATCATTTATTATTTTTGGTTTCAAAACTTTTTTTTTATATTTATTTATTTAGAAGTTTTTTATAATGCTTTTTTATTGTTTATTTTTATTTTTTTCTATTTACATATTTAAGAGATCTTATAACACTTTTTTATTATTGATTATTATTTTCTTCAAAATTTTTATATTATTTATTATTATTCGTTTCTGAAAACTTTCCTTTTATAATTTTGTGTATTATTATTTTTTTATGAACTTTTTTTTATATTCATATAAAGTTTCATAATAATTTCGTTATTATTCATCAATTTTTAAATAAAAAATTATATCATTAAGAAGTTTTTATAATATTCTTATATTTTACATAATATTTTGTTTTAAAAACTTTTTTTCATATTTTATTTATAAGTTTTTATAATAATTTCTGTATTATTTTTTATTTATTTAAAATTTATATTATATTATTAAAAAGTTTTTCATTTTATTTTACACATTACTTTTCGTTTTTATATAAATTTTTTTATATTTATTATTTTTTAATAAATACTGAAAATTTATATATTGTTACCGATTTTTTCTATCTATATGTTTTTTAATTAAGAAACCAGCCAACATCCTCGTGATGGGCGAAGGCCCCGAAAAGGGAAGAGTTAAAATCGGTAAACTTTCTTGTTTTGCTCGACAGTTTTTTTACTTTCTATTTTTATTTATACTTTTTTTTTAAGCTGTTATTTTTTTCATTACTTTTGCATAATATTTTGCATCATTATAAATAAAAAAATTTCTCTATATTTTATATAATAAACTTTTTCTATTTATTTAAAAACTTCTTTTTGATTTTTTTCTTTTCTACTTTTATTATTTATTAAAACTCTTTTATGGTATTATTTATAATAAATATATTATACTTATTTTTTCAAGCGGATCTTGGCATGGCTCGACTCTTTTGCAATCCACTTCGGGTATTATTATTACTTATTATTATCATTTACTTAATTTTATTATTTAATATTATATATTTATTTATCTATTATAACTTTCTACAAATCCTTACAAATAAATATTATACGTTCTTGCTTTTAAATAACAAACCGTAGATAGCAAATATATATATATATCGTTCTTATTAACTTTTCAATTAAAATCTTTTATTTAAATTAGAATTTTTCAAAGAATACTATAAAGCAGAAGATTTTTTTTAATACGCTTCTAAAAAGATTTATCATGTTATCAATACAAAATATACTTTTATATAATCTATTTAAAAATTCTATAAAACTAAATAAATATTTATTATAATTTATTTTTTATTATAATAAAAATATATTTTTAATAAAGAAAAAAAATTTATTATTAAGCCCAAAAAAATATATTGTTATAGTTTATAAAAGTAATAAACTTTGTTATTTACTGCATTTATATATATTTTTTCTATTAAAGAGATTATAATTGTAATTTATTAAAATATAATAAACTATATATTTTTTAATATGCTATACAAATATACTTTATATGGAAAGCAATTTTTATATATTATAGTTTATATATAAATATAATAAATTATATATTTTTTATAACATCTTCAAGTTTGTAACATACTTTGTATTATAGTTTACTATTTATATTAGTTTCGAAGCTTACGACTAGTAAAATCACATGAAAATAAAAAATAACTTTTTTATATTATTTTTTATAATAACCCTTTTTTGTACTACTCACTGGATTACTATTTTTTTTAGTTATTTTTATACCCGATAATTATTAAAAATTTCTTTTTTTATCTCTTATTTCTATAAATTTATAATTGATACTTAATTAAGATAATTTTTTATATAAACCTCTTTTTTTACTACTAACCGCTATACTATTTTTTTCTAGTATAAAAAATATATAATAAATAATACATATTATTATTTTTTTTTTTAAAATGAAAATTATTAAAATTTTATTTTTTTTAATAATAATGAGTAATATATATTATATTTTCTTAATAATTGTTTTTTTTATATAATCCTTTTTTTTACTACTAGTCGGATGACTATTTTTTTTGCTTAATATAATATTTTTATATAATAAGATGTAATAAATAAATATATAACTTTTTATATTTTTTAGATATAGTCTTCTAATTTTTTTTTTTAGATGTATAATTTTTAAAAAATATATTAATCTTTTAGATTAGTTTTAATATAAACCATTTTTTAACTACTTGCTGGTTTATATCTTCATTTTTAATATATTTTTTGTATAAAAATATATATAATAAATAATCTATAAACCTTTTTTCAAAATTTTCTTATACACTATAATTATGAATGAAATTTTCTTATATGTTCTGTTTATAAAAATATATCAAATATATAATTTTTTAATACATGATTGTTATAATAAACTTTTATTTTTATTTCTCTAATAATATAATTAATGAATTAAAATAAATATTATTTTTTGATAATTATATTTTTATATTGACCTTTTTTTCATTACTAACTGCATTACTATTTTTTTAAATTATATTATTATTAAAAAATATGTAAAATAAATAATATTTATATGACTTTTTTTGTAAATTTTTCTTATACGATAATTATTATAAATTTATTTTTTCTAAATATATTATTTTTGTATAAATATGTTTTATATTAATCTTTTTTAATATCATACTTTATATAAAAATAAAAAATATTCTTTTTATGTATTTTTTGTATAACCCTTTTTTTTTAATATCAGGCTTACTATTTTTATTGTTTTTCTTATATTTTTAGAAGTATATATAATAAATATTATATATATAACGTTTTATATATTTTTTTATACACGAGAATTATCATAAACTTAATTTTTCTAAATATTTTATTTCTATATCAATCTTTGTGTTATTTCTATATAAAACGAATAAATAAACCTTTTTATATGAATTTTTTTATATAATCCATTTTTCTTTAAAACAAAATTACTATTTTTTTTATGTATATAATGTCTATTAAAAGTTATATCGCCTGTTAAGAAAAATATGTTTTTGTTAATATTTTAATTTACTGTTTATATCTTTATTATCTTTATTTTTTTTTCTGCGGGGTTATTATTTTTTTACAAATAGTGATGCTAATTTTTATTAAAAATAATTATTATTAACTTTAAATAATATATAATAAATAATTTTTATTCAATTTTTTACTTTTTTTAAAAATAAATTATAAATGACCAATTTATGTGTTTATTTGGCAGCCGTTTACAGATGTTGATCCAGTCGTGGTGACTATTTGGTATCGCTCTCCTGAACTCTTATTGGGCGCGCGGCACTATACAAAGGCTGTCGGTCATTCTCGTGTTTTTTATTTTTGTTAAACTTCATCTTCTTGATGGTGAATTTTTTTTTTATAAAACAATATATAAAATAAAGAAAAATAGTTAATATAAAACATATTTTTTAGAAAAATATAATCAAATGAAATTTTTACTAATTGAACTTAGAAAAAAAGTTATGTATGAACTTAACTAATAAATATTTAATAAGAAAATAAAAAATAATATTAAATAAGAAAAATAGTAAATAAGAATAATATTTATTAGAAAAATATGATAAAACAAAAAGTTTTTGATTTATTATTTTTTTAAAAAAGTTTATACATAAATAATATACCAACTTTTACTAATTTTTCAGTATCGCGACATTTTTTATAAAAAAAATTTGTATATGGAAAAATACAAACTTTTAATACAACTTTATTGGAATGCAAAGTAATTATTTAGTAAAACGAAACTTTTAAAACTTTATATATAAAGAATACACACTTTTATAAAATTTTATAGTAACGCGATATTATTTTTTAAAAAAAATTTATATATAAATACTTTAAACTTCTGTTAATATTTTTTTGTGGCGCGGAAAGTTTTTAATTTTATATGAATATTTTTTGTCCTTATTTTAGTTAAACGATCAGATTTTGAAAGTTTTTGGAAATCTACAACTTTTTTTATTACAACCTTATATGAAAATATTGGTTTTTTTGTTATTGTTTTTATTATTGTTATAGTAGAAAATATATTTTTTAAAACGTGCTAACTTTTTTCCTACTAACAAACTAAAAACTTTTTTTGCTTTTATTATTATTATTATTATTATTATTATTATTATAAATATTATATTTTATTATACTTTCGTAATAAAACGCACTGAACATTTGAAAACCTACAACTGTTTTTATAATAATTTTATATAAGTGAATACTTTATTTGCTATTATTATTTATTCTCATATATTTATTTTAAAAACGTACTAAACTTATATTAATTTACGTCTTTTATTTTTTTGATACCATAAAGAATTCTTCTTTTGTTATTATTATTATATCTAAAAATATTTTATTTATTATTAATAAAACGTACCAAAACTGAATCTCTTGAAAGTTTGTTTCAAAATTTTACAATTTACAATTTTTTTATTATAATTTTCAAATAAAAATGCTTTTTTTTATTTCTCTTTATTATTATTTTAAATTTCTTTTATTATTTTTTTTATTGACAAATTTACTAAACTTTTTCAAAATCTTCAACTTTTTTAAGTTTAACTTTTACATTATAAATTCTTCTTGTGTTCGAATCTCGTTAGAAATATTTTTTATTACTTTATTTGTAAAAGGTACTGAAACTGAACCATTTGAACTGAATTATTATAGTTATTTTAATTTCCATATATATATTTTTGTTATCATTATAATTATTATCATATTTGTAAATATTTTTATTTATGAATTATAATTTATGTAAAAAACTTTTCTTTCATACTCATTATTATTATATTTATATCAGTTTTTCATATTTTTTTAATATTTTATTTTTTTAAAAACTGCATTAAAACTGAATCTTTTCAAAAATTTTATATTTTATATTTTTTTATTATAGTTTTTTATAAAAAGATCTCTTTTTTGTTTTCATTACTTTTATAGTAAAGCTTTATTTTTATTTCTTTTCGAATTAATAAAAACTACTGAAATTCATTATTATACTCCAAATTATCTAGATGTTTGGGCTGTTGGCTGCATCTTCGCTGAGCTGCTGACTTTGAAGCCTCTTTTCCACGGAACTGAAGTTCGTCTCTTTTGGTTTTTTTATAGTAATTATTATTTTATGTAAAGAGTTTTTTTAAAACTTTAATTATATTAAAAAATATATAGATTTAGCTTTAAAATCTTTATTATGGTCCACGAAGAAATTATTTATCTTATTATTATTATTATAAATATTTATGGTGCTATTAGTTATTTTGTCACAGTATATATAAAAATTTATATATTAATACTTTGAAACTAAAAAAAAATTTCAACATTCAATTTTTAGATGTTTAATTAAATTGTAACGCGCTTATAATATTTTTAATTAATTTTCTTGTTTAATTATTTTTATAAAATTTTTTATCATTTAATTTGTTAAAAAAAATTTAAAGGAAAAAGGCAAAAATGCTTTCCAGTACGATCAGTTGGACAAAATCTTTAAAATTCTCGGAACGCCTTCTGGTGAGTATATTAAGCCTTATACTTCTAAAAGATTTATAGTTTGCAACTTTTGATTTTTAATCGTTATATAAATAATCTGATTGGTTAGAGGCCGCGTGGCCCGGCATCACTGCTCTTCCGGATTTTTCGAAATTAAAAAATTTTGAAACGTATAAATTTATTATTATAATTTATCTGTTCTCTTTTTAAAATTTATTATTATTATTTTCCTTTATTATGAAATTTTTATAATTTTTACTATACTTTATTTTTTTTTATTTAGAGTGTGTTTATACTTTCTTTCTAAATTATAAAATTACTTTTATATTTTAAATCAGTTTTTTAAAAATAATTTATATTTATAATCACAGTTTGTTGATACTTTTTTTTCCATACTGAATTTACCTTTACCTTTATACTTATTTATATATATTAAAGTTCTTCTTTTCAGCTGCGACAATATTTAGAGAAAAATCTTTGCGGTCGGGCCTTCTCTTCTCAGTAATTTCACAACATTTAAAAACAATTTCAAATTTTTTTAATTTTTTTTTAAATGGAGCGCCTTCAAATTGTTAACAGAATTGCTTTTGTACGATCCGAATAAGCGATTGAGTTGTTCCGCTGCTTTGAAAAGCGATTATTTCATAAAAGGAAAACTTTTACCAGAAAATTTAAAAAAGTTAGTAATTTTTTTTAACTAAATTTTTTAAAATTTTAAAATTTTTTGTTTTTTAACAAAATGATATAAATAAATTTTCGATTCGTTTCAAAAAAATTAATTTTTATTATAATATTTGTTTATTATTAATAACATAAATATACTTTTACCATTCCGCTTTTATAATTTTCTAAATAATTTTTATTACTAAAGATATGGATATTTTGTTGTGTAATAAAATTTTGTTACTCTTACAGAATTTATTAGTAGCAATTTTTTTAAAAAAAATTTTAAATTTTTTTACTTTTTTATAGCGCTTTACACGATTCTTCTTTGCAGTATGAAAGTCGTAAAATACAAGAGTTCAAGACACTTTGTTAGTGCGAGACCAGAAGAAAAAATGTACGAGGGGAATTTTTTTAGTAATTCTTAATAAAAATATATGTCTCTATTATTATTTAATTTTATATAAAAATTAGGAATTAATTTTTGTTAAAGTAAAATGATCAATTCCTTATTTAAGTTATTTACTTAACAAAATTAGATTTTTTTTTCCTAATTGAAGAGCCCTCCAGCTACATTAACTTCTAATCTTTTTATAAAACTTTGCAATTCTGCCTTACGTCTAAATTTTATCACTTTATACAACGCGAATATTAAGAATTTTTTTACTGTTTTTAAATTTAGTTAGTGAACTCTTCAGCTGAGATTCATTTTTATTTGCTTTTGTATAAGGTAAATACAATTTTTAAAAGTTTTTAAGATTTTAAACAGTTTTTTATTTTTTATAATCGTGACTCATTTAGGTTAATCTTTAGCTTAAAATTGTTTTTATCCTATGAATTTTGGCCAAAATATTAATGAAAATTGCTAACACTATAAATTAATTAATTAAAATCTTTTTTTTTTAACTAAATTCCCTCTTCAAGATTTGCGCAACACCTATACTACTATTTTTAGTTAAGAGTTATTTAATTAAGCACTGTCTTTCAACAAAATTTTCAGTTAAATTTTAGTATTATTTTGATTACGTGTAGAGAAAGAAAAAATTACTATTATAAAATTCTTCTACGAATAAAGAAATTAATATTTTAAATTAATTAAAGTTGGTCAAAGAAGGAAGAAGATCTGGTGAATTTAGTATAACGTTCTTAAAAATTTATTATAAAGTACAAAGAAAATCAAATTTGAAATTAATTTTCTAAATATATCATTATTAACCAATAAGACTTTTCATATAAAGTACTTTTAAATCCAAAAACCGCGATATTTATACTTAAAAGTAAAAAAAAGGTTAGCTAATAACTTCCAAAGTAACAAAATAATACCTATTAAAAATTTATTAGTAAACTAAACTTATAAAAAAGAACTTTGAAATAAAATTAATATTTCTTTAATATATAAGAAAAATTTTAAGTTAGGCTTCTGGCGTGAAATGGAAAAGTTGAGAGATTCTTGATCGTTTTACGCAAAACTCATAACGAAAAAAAATAAAATTTTGCGTATTATCTTTCTCTACTTCGTATTTATGTATAAATTTTAATTAAGTTTTAACATACAAAATTTACGAAATAATGTTTATAATTCTATAATATGTGATATATTCGTGTGATCATAGTGTTTCAACAGTTTTTTAGTGCTATAATATGTGACCAGCAAACAATTAAGCATCAAGTTTAATATAAAGTTCTTAACTCTAGAATATGTGAAAAACATACAATTATCGCACTACAAACTTTTAAAATTTTTTTTTTACTCTATAATGTAAGATAACCATATAACTATACCTCACAAAGACTTCGAAAAAGTTTTTTTTTATCTACAAAAAGTGAAGGCCATATTATATTAGCCAAAAAAAGTTTTAATAAAAGTATTTTTTAATTTCTACAAAATGTAGTAACCAAAAATTTATAACAGTAAAATGTTTTCCTATGGGCAACGAATAGAAGTACACATTGCAATTTCTTATACCGCTCGCTTGACCACAAAGGCATCTCCCCAGACAGACGCCAAACCTGTCAGCAATGTTAGAAACGACTAACGGCCAAATATCTTTAATCCGTTTGCAATGCTTTTTAGTCCACAAGCGCTTGGTCAGATCCGACTTCTATGCTGGAACGCAGATGGCGTTCTACATAAGAAACATAAAATACATAAAAACAAATAAATTAATTAAAATAAATAAACTTATATTTATAATAAATAGTAAAATAAATAAAATAATAATAAATAAACTTTTATTAGTGAGAATAAGCTTCTTCTCAGAGTTTTATTCAATCTTTACAACTTTTCGACGGGCTTCCAAGGCGGCCTTGATGGAGGCGGTGGAGTCGCAGCTATTCTGGTCTGTCCAAACATTTAACTGTTTTAAATGTATGCCAGCCCTACAAGGCATTGAGGCAGTTGGAGTTTCCCTCCACTAAACCAGTCAGGGGCCCATGTCAGTAATTGCAGCTTACAAACCCCCAGCAAACCCCTTATCACAAAATTGATTCACTTTTTCTTAAATGGTTTCTCAGTTGTTGTATGTGGGGACTTAAACTGCAAGCATATCTCCTGGGACAACAGAAGTTTTAGATATCGCCATTTGGCAAAATATACATAGTTCAACGGCGATAAAAGCTCTTTACGAACTTTCCCCAAACTATATGGCAGTTCTGCTTAATTTGGGCGACGGAAAGGAGCTACTGTTGACGTATATTAGAAGTTTTACGAGGCTGTACTCAATTCTCTGAGACTCTTAATATAACCTATTTAACATCTTCCAACTTTCTCAGGAACGTTCGCCCTATTTGACTTTGCTGTTACTGATTTCGAGAACGTTTTGACCATGGCCGTACCATAACGCCACGGCAATACTTAAGGTTGAGCTCTATTCTAACCGCCTGCCTTTTATGAATTGAAGGCCCTTACCTGACTCGCGGCGACCCTTTATTCGAGTGACCACGGTGCCATAACGCCTCGAACAAATGCATTAGGAAAGAGCTCATAGCATAGCGCAACAGATTTCGGGAGACAAAGTTGAGTAATATATCGGAGGTTAACAAAATGGTCGCGTCTCTTTCTAAAAGTATTTGTTGAGGCAAGCCACGCCCTACTAGAGTTCCAACTTGTACTCAGACAAGGACACCCCACGGCTTAACAACTCCTTCGCCTGACAGAGTGGACGGCCAGGCAGCGGACATCGTCTTTCTTGATGTTGAAAAAGTGTTTGACCCAGTTTGTGCGCGCCATAGCTCTTCCTATTGCTTTTTTTTAACGCAATCAATCTTACTCTAACGTCTACGATATACGCGGCTCTTTAAGTCCTCTAACGTTCGGAGACCCACCATTATCTCTTCTATCAACCTTACTATTTGCACTCCTATATGCGCGGCTTGACAAGCCCGACTATCCCCACAGCGGATAGCCTTCTATACGGATGACGGCAAATTACTCCTCGTCAAAGTCACCTGCCTAATTGTTATAATGCCTGCAGTACTACCTAATGATGCTTGAAAGCTGGTGGCCACGTTGAAATATACTATTTTTGCGGAAAAACAGCAAAGCCCTTTTTATCACGTAGAAGCGCTCTACAACACCACCGACAACGAAAAAAGAAAAACATAAGAAAACGGTAATTGCTTTATTAAGGCGATCAAGCCGTTTTTATATACCTTTACAAAAGGTTTAAAACTTTTCCATTGACGTATTCGTTCAAATTAAGGTTTTTTTTGTAAAAACAATGTTTAGTTCCGTATGAAAACTGTTAGAGTCGATAACACTATATTTGGTTATAATAATATTTGGTTTACATAGTCCTGCCAAAATGTTTATAATCGCATTTATGTTATAATATTAATTTATGATATTTTTAAGTGGTTTAATTACAGTTTCTCTGTGGTTCACTTTTAGTGTATGTGTAGTTTGTTTGCCTATATTTTATGATACGATACACCATTACCGCCGCGGACCTTCAAAAACAAGATAATTTCTTAGGAACCTCAAGCGATATACCTGGAGACCATTATTGACAGAAAGCTCTCGGAACGGTCGCACGTAAACTATATCGCGGTGAAGTTCAAGGCAGCTGTTAAAACTTTATACTCTTTACTTTGTGCCTGAAGCAACCTCTCGTTGCGAAACAAACGACACTCCGGCTAATCATGACATATGTGTCTTCTGCCTGAGCCTACGACCCACTGGCAATAACCTCATCGCTTCAAAAGGTGCCACGCCTTATGACGGGCGCGTTATGGTTTGTTCGCAACGATGCCTTACACCAAGACCTTTTAGATAGAATCTCTGGGTAATGTTCTGACGCAGTGCTATCGCCAGCGTGCAAAAGGCTTTAAACAGAGATAGAATTATTTTAACATGAGATTGCTTAAACACAAGCTATAGAGGGCTCCCTATGGTGATTTTTAACGGTTTCCACCACACTAGGTCGAATGGCGGTAGTCTGGATTGGGTATCTCCCGCCTTTCCAGTCCTTGGGCTGTCACTAGGAACCTCGCGCTTATATAGAGAATACTGGTTATAACACTATTAGCCTCCATAGCAACAAGCACGGTTAGCTACGCCGCACATGAAGGGCATACCCTGGTGGGCGTTCGTGCCCTAGCCTTTGCGGAAAAGGAAAATTCATATTAAAAAAGTGGTTGTCTCTTACGTATACCGGCCGTTACTGGATAAATTAACACAAGCTTAAATCTACCCAATTTGCTCGCCACCTCCCATTTGAGTTCGGTGTTTTCTTTACGACCCCCTCGAGCACCAAAAATTACCAATAATAAAAATTCAAAGTAGACTTGACGAACTTCTAACATATTTTCCATTATTACTTTTTAAGTTAGAGGGGCATTAATACTATGAAACTTCCTGAAGTTATAAATTTGTTGGACTCCCGATTGCTGTACTTAAAAGAATTACTCCGTAATTGCCGAGATCAGCAATTTAAACTTTTGGTGCTTATTCTAGTTCTCTTTAAATTACTTTTAAATAACTAAAAAGTTTAATAAGCTGCTTTAATGTAGTAACGAGTTTATTTTTAGCTTTTACTTATACTTATGCCTTTTTGTTTAGTTCGGTTGTGGTTGAAAGATGGTGTGAAAACAATTATACTTATATTAATGCTTAAAAATATAACCTTAACTAGTGCGTTACTAACTCTACTGACTTTATAATCTTTTTTAGTTCGGCAATTGCATTTTTTTTTTGCCATCTCTTTATTTTTTAACAATTTTAAAAAAAAAATTTGTAGATGGAGGAAAATTTTATTTTTAAAGAGTTCCGCGCACTTGAAAAAATGCTGCCCGATAGTCTAACTAGTCCCTTTTCTAATGTAAAGCGTTATTTAATCTTTTTTTATAATTTGTAAGGACTTAAGATTTCTAAATATTTATAATTTTTTCTATAAAATAATTATATGACTAAGTTAACTACTGAAGTTAA